GCCTTGAAGATGTTAAGTATTCAGGTCAAGCGCGTCTGAAACAACACGTTTGCAGTGATTATTTTCATTTTCCCATTCCTTTCATATCCACCATTTTTAAAATCTACAAATCTTCTCTGTTTTGATCACGATCCAGGGTGAAAACTAAATCTTATCAGCCCTGAAACTTGACCAGCAGGCCGATCATGCCTTTGTGATGACATACACCCAGTGGAAAAGTACAGACCCCCTCCAGCTCCCATGCATATTCTCTCCTCCGCCGCAGCTATCACTCTCCTTTCATGCGGGCAGCCTCGGTGACATCACCCCTCAAACTCAACCTCCAAGTCTTTTAATGACTCTAATAAAACAGAAGATATCTAACAAGGCTGATCACAAACTGGGGGCCTGCGGTTAGGCAGCGTCAGGACTTTATTATCATCCTGGGAGGCGGTGATATCAGCCATCGTCTTTATCAGCCATCAAAGATTCACACAGAGGAAGAAGGCACAAACACTCGGGTTGAGGTTGGAGGCGTTTGCAGAGGATGTGGTCCGCACGGTTTGAAGATGTGAACGGGAGCTGTGAGGGCGGAGAGAGGGAGGACTTCCAGGGTAAACAACATAAGGAAGGTGTTACAGTAGCCTAATCGGACTCGGTGGGCAGAGGTGGGACACCTGGTTCAAATCTAACCTGACAGTGACTCTGAGAGCAAAACACTCTCCACTTTATAAATGTTTACAGGCTAAATGGGAAACAGCGGCTACAACCACACTGAGCTTTTAGTTCAAAGATTAAATATTGAATTTTCTCACATTCTTATAAAGTTTATTCCCTTTGACTCACAATCAGGAGGTTAAAGGAAGACTGTGAAACATTTTACACATAAGTACAGTATAAATCAAGTAGATCCTATGTAAATAAATCTGACTGAGGACTTTCTACACTGAGAGAGAAGAGCAAGTCCCTCTGGATGTGTTGTTTTCAGATCTGTGTGTGGGACGGCACTCCCTTTACCCTTACATATAGAGCCCAGGCTGCCTCCGGCCCAAAACAATCCCACCGCAGAAGAAGAGGAGGAAGATCCAAAATGGCCGACTCCAGTCCAAAGCGTCCGACTGAAGGCCCACCGGATTGTCATGCATCTAAGAAACTGCGTTCTCTTGATTAAAAAAAAACACTTCAGACAAAGAGAGGAATAAAACAAGCATCAATATCAGACTTGCTTTGGCCCGATCCCAGTAAACTTATCTCATCACTTGACATTTTTCAGATAAATGTATTATGAAAAGCCTTAATGTAATGTGTTTTTAAAGTAACTTTATTGAAATACGTACAACCAGTCAGCCAGTTTACAGGAGGACATTAAAGGAAAACTGTCAAAAGTCAATATGATAATGATTTAATTGACAGACATGTCATTTTTTTAATTCTGTAAATAATGTTTTTTACTTTTTGGAACTTCAGGGCCTCCGTAGTTACTTGTTATATCAATGCCATTTATATAAAGAGTGCCTAGGAATCTCAACTTCCTTTTTATAACCTTTCATTAAGTCAATTATACCATTAAGTGTTGATTTAACTACAGAGATAAATGTTCTTGATGTTATGCCGATTATCTTATTCTTGTACGTAATGACGTTCTGTGACGTGAGCATTGACCGTTGAACTTTACTGCTCCTGCGATGTGATTGGATTGGTGTGTTGGTTCTTGTTGTCGCAACTCCTAATGATTAAAAATATTAAAATGTTAGGGGCTAGTTTCACAAATATGTTTCACAAAGTATTCTATCTAATCAAGATGATTATGGACTGTGTTTGACTTCTGTTATGAATGAGTTTAAGAGAGTCCTCCCCGCTGAGAAGATTCACAAACGGCTAAATGCCAGTAGTTAGGATGCTAATGCTAATGCTAACGTGTCGGAGAAAGTGATCTAACTCTGGCATGTCATGTACCGTGTGCATCATCGGGCTAAAGTTAGCTTTTAGTCAACAGGCAGTTGCTGCCGGAGTATTGTAGTTTCCATGGTAACAGAGGACTACTCAGCCTCATGCTATGCTAGCATATTCAGAGGTTTTTGGTAGCTATTTTAATTAGAAACGTGATTGTTTGAGGTTTTTGTTACTTCATTAAGTTTCTAATTAGGTGTGCCTACAGTAACTAGAAGTTTCACTCCTCAGATAACTGCGTCTAGTGTCTTTGTATTGATATTACGTGACATTGTCAGTTGGCTTCAACATCATTAACATCATCAGATGTAAACAAATCAATCATCCATAGCTGATTTGTCTAATTTTTAGGATTTCCGTACAGTTTATGCGAAGGCTGTGTTGAAAATTAATATAAAGCGCTCTCTAATGTTTTGAATCTGGACTGCAGTACCTACTTAAAATCCTAGGTTTCAGAGTAACATACATGTTTTTTGCTAATTCTGTTATTGCTCCCCTGGTTTATGGAACATTTTAGTGTTGAAATGTGTTTCAAACCCAATAAAATATTATCTTCTTTTGGTTTACAACTCTGTTCAGGATTTCTAGCGTCTTTAACAACACGCTGTTTGAAAATAGGAAAGCAATCCTCCAACGTTAGATGCTTTGTATGTTGGCTTCATGCATCTCTGAGTGGTGCAGAGTGTCTGCGGACTGAACATGTTAAGTAATTTAATTACTCTCCAAAATATCAACGCAATGACTCCAATGATTGTGTTTGAGTGCAGACCTAACGCTTGATTTTATGTTTTAGTAAATTCTGTACGTTTATTTATTTTTATTTTTTTAATTGAGCTGTAATGAGGCTGTGTTTAAAAAGTCAGTTTATTGAACTAAGTATGTCAGGGATTCTGAAACAGGGTTCAAGATGTATTTAAGGATCTGTTTTGACTGCATCTTACTGTGCTGGTTTGCCTTCATACTTTATTCATTAAATGCAAGTTTTTTTTTTCTGTAATACAATGGTCCTAAATGAACAAAACCACTCTTTAAAATCTTACACTCAACATTTGGGCATCTGATGGTGTCACAGTGTTCCCGCTGCACTCATAAATCACTCACTTTTAAAACCACTCAGCAGCTCTGTGAGGAAATGACATTTCAAAACCCCTCGAGCTCCACCCATCCTCCGGCCTGTGAACGCCACCCAGACTGCACTGAACTTATCTGTGATTTCAAGCTGCAACACATTAAAACTCTTCCTTGGATGACTTCATCATGAAACCAGAGCTCTTTTAAAAGCGTCATTAACCGTGTCGACTCCGGGCCTCTCCTGTCACACGGGGCCCTGCTGAGAGGCTGTCTGTCGTGGCTGTCCTCAAACAACACAGGAACAACACACTGGAACACTTCCTCTATGTTTCTGTCTCTAATTGTTAATAACTGCATTAATTTCACATTTAAAAACTAGAGTTTATAAAGGGCTTTGAAAAATGGAGAAAAATGTAATCCTCAGATTAAAATGACAAAAGAAACTCACAACAATGCAGCCAGGTACAGGAAGACAAAGTGAGGGAGCCATCTATATGAAGTATAAGACAGAAGATAAAAAGGTGAGAGCACATAGGAGAGGTAACAGAAGAAACACATATAAAACATAAAATATGCTTTTATAAATGAAGAACTTTTTCGATGCTTTTCAAAATGACCGAGAGTATTTTTGTCAACAGTATCGAAAACTTCAGAAGATAAAACTTCCTCTTCAGTCATGGTTTGAACTAAAAGATGATGGGAGCAGAAAAGAGAGAACGCAGATTGAGGTTTGTCTAAGTTGCACAAAACGTAGCCAACGTGTTTCTACATTGCACAGAAACTCTGGAAACGTTTTAGTATTTGTGCGATTTAGGCGGTGTGAAGGAGTTTGTCTGCATTTTTGTTCATTATAATACAAAAAACTACGCAATATTTGGTGCCTATTTATATTTGTTGTTGTTGTATCAGCGGGAGACCGCCCTAACACAAGTAAGTAAATAGGGCTAATAAAAAGTAATGAAACTAGAAGAAATAAGAAGACAGAAAGGCTACAAGAAGAGATTGTAGAAAATATAAAAGGCTGATTAATGTAAATCTGAATGTTTTGTCATTTTTCTTCAAGGGTCGATTTCTACACATTTTAAAGGTATGTTGTAAAATGAATCATGCAATAACTTAATTTCCTTCACTCTGACAGGGTTTTGTTGTCAGAGGCCGGTCTGTGGGAGCCATGGGACCAGGTGCTGGGTCGAGTCAGAGGGCAGCAGAGTGAAGAGTGAGAGTTCCTTTTTTGGGAAAAGCTTTCACTGGTGGAAGCAGATTCTTCTCTCAGCGCCCTGCAAATATTTTCTCTGCTGTCTGCCCTCCTCAGTAATCCCCGCTCCCCCGACATCCGCACGCCACCCCTGCCATTCCAATCAGTCAGCCCGACATGTGCTCTGCTGAACCCCAGCCACCATCAAGGAGTGGTGGGGTCATCATCTGTTTGACTGTTATTTACCCCCCGCACATGTCATGGCAGCAGTTCTGGGGTTTTAGGAGCACAGCGACAGCTCTTCATTGAGCTGAAACCTATGCGACAACTGTTCCTCTCTGATGGGGAAAGAGGAGGATCAGAGCTGAGGAGTTCACTCTCACTCCTGCACACACAGCGTGCACACATGCCTCAGAAGCTCTCAGATCTTACACAAGATTTTTCTGCCGGTTTAAGACTTTTAATTTGTCTTGTTATTCTTGGATGGAGTAGAACACCTCAGGGCTGATTCAGTTCCTCTGTACTTCAGGGTGGAGGTAAAGAAAAGGCAGTGTGGGTGTGTGTGTGTGAGAGTCTGTTTCAGCTGAGGATATTACCTCATAGAGGATAAGCTGTGATTCAAGAGGTCTGACAGAGGTCTCTCCCTCTGACTCCACTCTTCTTATCTGGGCAGGTTTTCTGTTCGGGAAGTTTTGACAGCCAGGCTTTACAGCAAGAGAGAGAGAGAGAGAGAGAGAGAGAGAGAGAGAGAGAGAGAGAGAGAAAGTTGAGAGGTGGTGACTTCATCCCTTCTCCTAACCAACCCTCCTCTCTCCCCCTCCTTTTCTGAGCTCTTTTTTTTTCAACTTTTTTTTTGTGCTGCAAAGTCAGGCAGCATGCCAGTAGTCTTCCTCGTGCTGCGGTCCCTGCTTATCAGGCTCTTCAGTAGCAAACTGGCAGGCTCAGCGGCACAGTTCCTCAGGAGAATCCTCTCTACGGGAGCTGCCCACCTTGGCACGGCACTGCGCCACATCTGGGACCGCATTCGATCCCAGGAGTCCAAGGAAGCCGTCCTGGGCTGTGTGCTGTGCATTCTCAACATGCACAAGAAGGTGGAGAACTGAGCTCTGCCTCCACTCGCTCCTTAACCCTCCACTCCCTGCTGAACACAGACTGGACACTTGTGAGTGAGGAGACGACGTACTGAGGGATGTGAGAGACTTCTTTAAGCCTATCTGGACTTAAGTTTGAGGTTTTTTTTTCTGAGCTGGACACTGGAAATGTCTGAGAGCATCGTGAGGAAGGTCCAGCCCTTCACCATCGGGACACGGCTGTCAGTCCCCGCTGTGCCAAAATGTCAGGACTTTACACAGAGTTACCTACAGAGCCAGAGTCTGGATAACTGCACGCTACAGCACAACCTGAACTCGCTCTACCTCAGCCGATCCCAGGTCTGTGCACATGGCCCATGTCTCGTCTCACCCATCGTTAAGCAGGTTTCCCCGGTCAAACAGAACCAGGAGGACATGGCGGAGGAGGACCACCTAAACCAGAACGTGTCGTCTCCCTCTGCAGTCTCCAGGTCCATTAAGAAGATCACCATCTCTGGGAGTAAAGACAGATCAGAGACCAAGGCGTCAGTGAGACCGGCACAGCGTTTTATTGTGGGGTCAACATCTGAAAACAACAACAACAACAACAACGTCAGCAGCTCCTCGGATCCACATCTGCCCAGGATTGTGGGTGTGAGCTGTGAAAACAAGCCCAGCTCTCAGTTCAAGGTACAGAACACATTTAAATCACATAAATCTGTAACTCTATGAACGAGGAGACAGTAGAGCCTCTTGCCTTAATGATGTGGTATCATTTTAATTCACTTATTGGACTTAAACACCAAGATCTTTACTCAATAAAGACGGATTCATATTTCCAAAGATATCTTATATTTATGAGCACATCAAGTTTAGTAAATTCTTTGTTAACCGTAGACCACAGCACACACTGTGTTTAAAACACAAGCCTTCAGTTATCCTCAAAGTCCATTTTTATTTGAATACTTTGTTCGACTGTAAAGACTGAAGTTAAATTATTCATAAGAAAGGACTACTTACCAAAAGTTTGTTTTTCTCTCTGTATGATAATAAATATTCTATCAATATTTTTCTGACAGACTGTTGGAGAAAGTGTCCCATTAACAGTCAAATGTTTTAGTTCTCAAAAAGTGATTGAAGTATTTGATTTGAAAAGTCTGAATGTTGAGACCGTCAGCTAAAAAGAAAGTCTTTTATTCCCTCTGCAGTAAGTATTTAAATCAAGGCTCGACAAACACTCCTTTTTAACGTGCTTTTACCTTTTCAAGGCTTGAAGGATTTATGTTGTTTGACCTTTTAACCAAAGGTCATTTCCTGTCACTATGTCATAGACAATAAAGTTTTTTTTGTTTTTTTTTAAATATGGTCTCAGATTGACTTTCTTTCCACATTTTTTAGCATCCTGGCCAACTTAAAATCAAACCCACGTTGTTGTTCTTTGTCTTTTTGAAGGTTTTACTCAGAAAAGAAAACAGTGATGAGGTTCAGCGTGCGCAGGGGCCGAGCAGAGTGACACTGAACGGAGAGAGAGCGCTCCAACAGGTAGGAGGTTTCTTAATGCTCCATTCAAAGTTTAACTCCTTTCTTTTAAATTAAAGTAATTTAAGTTCATTTCAAAAAGCCTACAAGTTCAGTTTTTTTTTTCTCAGACAAATGTGAGAAGCATTTGTTGTGTTGGTAAGCCGCGGCTCTCCTCAGCCAGGTATGGAGTCATGAATCTCTCTGAGTTGAGGAAGTGAAGTCATGTTGTGTGTTTGCCAAACTTGAACAGTTTATTATATTATACATTTGGAGCAAAGTAACGCAGAGGTGGAAAACCATTTATGGGAGCAGCGTGTCTTTGAACGCCTCACAAACAGCCTGTTGTTTCCCTCCTTGCTCTGCACTGATTTAGCAAAGAGAAACAGTCTCCAGATGAGGAACAGTGCGAGTGTGCTGTGTGATACTGTTTAAAGTGGACGGGCTGTTGGATTTGGCCTGTTCCTGCTTGAAGTCAGGAGTGTGTGTTGTGGATGAAGTGCTGTGTTCGAGCGGCGGGGCTCTCTGGAAAACATGAGGTCAGGGAAGATGTTAAGAAAAGAAAAGGCTTTTCACAGTAACAACACTGACAAAGCAGCGGCCTCATTTCCCCTTTAAGAACAATAAACTACACTCCTCTTCTGCATCAGCTCTGATTCCCCGACCACAACAATACTTTGCTCTTTCTCCTCTCATATTTAATTCATTCCGTTGACACCTTCACCTGTTCGGGTATGAAAGAGTGAACACGATCCTCTAAAGGTGATGTGTTTACATGTGAGGCTGACAGTGAAAAACATCAGACATCCGAGGATCTGTCCGCTCCTGCTTCCTTCATGAGCCCAGATGTTTCCTGAGTGCAGAGCAGCAGGAATGCTCGTCCATTAGTGAAGTTAGCCAGTCCTGTTCATCTCATCTCATGGAGTCATTGTTTTTGTTCAGACGGACCTTTGGGCCAGTCCGACACACGTTTTAACGACCGTATGGTTAAAAAAAGAAAAAAGGTGTTGTTAACAGAAAGTGACACAGAAACATCCCCTCATTGTGAGCTGATAATCGCTGCTTAATGGTTTTTATTAGAGGCACGCATCAGCTGGTGTTGTGGTTTCTCTTACAAGAAAGGCTCATGTTGTAAAATGACCCTCTTGATTGAAGACTTTGTTGTGTGTGTCGTGTGCTCACTCAGATTTCAGGTCCTGAATCCCAGAAGAAAGAGCCTCAGAGGAGAGAAGGCCTTCTGCACACACAGAGCGATGCCTCAGCAGCTGTTACGTCCCAGAGTGACTTCTTCTCTCAGCGCAACTCGCTCTTCAACAAGGAAGTGCTGCAGGTAAGAGAGACAGCAAATGAAACGCCGTGTAAACTCAATCCAATCCAACTTTATTTGTTAAACACTTTAAAACAACCACAGTCGACCAAAGCAGAAGAACAGATATTTGTGGATGTAAAGACTGTGAAGTGCTGTTGTCTCCTTCAGTTAAAGCTCCTCAGTCACGGATCTGAAATGTGCTCACAGTGTCTCACAGGACGTTTCTAGTTCTAGTTTCTAGTTTGTGTTCAAGCTGAAGCTGAGCTCATATTCAGAGAAACTGAAAACATTCTGATTCTGACTTCAAATCAAAGAACATCAAAGTGAAAATAATGAACGTTCACTTTGCTCCGATGTGTAAATCAGTCTCTCTGCTGTGAATCTGCTGCTCGTCGTTCGTCGGCCATTTTGGCTGCTTCACTTTCATCTTGAGTTCAATCTGTCGCTCACAGACATCACAAGCACTCTTCTCCACCAAACACCTCCTCTTCTCTGTCCTCGTTATTTTAATGAACTTTTAGTCTTCTGACTTTTACTCCGCAGGTCACACCGACACATTCACACACTGATGGTAGAGGCTGCTGTGTAAAGAGTCCATCAGTATTAACTCATTCATTCATACACCTGACTCTACCACTGAGCCACAGCTGCCCCACTGCGGCTCAGTCAGCGAGCATTATTATTTTCTAGGCATTATTTTTCCAAATATTTTGCACAATAAAGCAAAAATAGAAATAGTCGATATTTCCATCAAAAGTAAGACGCCTGTTTTAATTAAAGGAGAAGTTTGATTTACGTTAAATAAAATGTAGCGGGTAGAAGTGTTCTCCATTAAACAAATACTAAAGTATAGTGCAGACACCTTCAAACACTTCTCAGGTATAATACAGTAATATAATGTATGTACTTCCTGAAAGATATTGCTCAACAATAGAGCAGTCATTCATTGTCTCTGTGAGTCAGGAGGTTTAACCCTGAGAAGGCTTGAACTGTTCTCATGAAGACCTCCACTTCTTCCCCCTCTTTCTATTTCCTAATATAACTGGAAACTCATCAAATGTTTGAGGAGGCTGAACTCTGTTCAACCCACTCTGCCAGAACATTCAGGAGATGTTTGAAATCATTGTAAGATTAATCCCCCAGTAAGTAACCTATCAGAACCTCTCATCTCCTCTCATGCAAATAACGCCAAACGACAAGAAGCTGGAGCGAGTTTATCTGAAGAGATGAGATCAGAGAGGAAGCTGCATGTCGCATGACCCGCCGAGGAGAACAAAATATGAACTGGTTCTTATTTTGTCCCGAGAACTGTGTGAGCTGTGTTCTGCTGAGGGAGGAGGGAGGGGAAACCGCCACAAGTGAAGCAATTATTTAGGGATGAGATCATTGTTTGGCTCCATCTCTTCACGCCTATGGCCCGGAGAGGCTCAGCCAAGCAGCACAACTGGCTGTGTTATCTCATCGCTGCTGCCCCCCCCCCCTCGATGCACCAGGACACTTTTCAGCGAGTTCGGCTGAGGGACATTTTGTCCCACAGTTGGCTCTTAATGATAAACTGTTTGCTTCCAGTTATAAGACATTCATTTTGAGCGTGTCAGCTGAAGTATGTATGTGTTGAAAACAGGCCTGTGGCACGTCGTTAATGTTAACAAGCTTAGCAGTCCCCTTTGCTCTTAAGTGGAGCTCGTGTATCTGTTGCTTTTGGAGGAAACAGCTTTCAGTGCTTGAGTTTGACTTGAAATAGCCGGAGCTTTGAGTACCTGGGGACCTGCTTGTTTTACAGGGACTGGGTTGACTGCTATCGCTGATGAAAATGTGTTAGTTTAGTAATACACCGCTGTGGAAGTGGAAGTGAGCGTTCCAGGGAGAGACTTTTAAAGGCCCCTGATGTTTGAGGCTCGGAGAGCAAAGCAGGTCACCACATGGAGAAGCTCGGCTGCATCGACGGCCATCTGTCTGCGAGGCTGCTCTGCAAAACATCTCTCCTTTCACCATCTCGTTTCCATGATAGAGAAACGTCCACACTTTCAGGGCCAAACTGTGCTACGAGAGAGGATAAAAATTTGGCTTTTTGGTAAATATTTTTATCAAGTGTCAACATGTACGCACTCTGTCTTTGTTTTTCTGTTAAACTTGTTTCTTTTGAAGCTCGTCGATATAATTTAGTTTAAAGGATTTTTTGCTGCTTTCAGATTCTAAGCATGAAACATGGAGTTTATTTTAAAGCGTGTTCTGTTTTGACTGCAGGGCTGTGTTCCTGTGTCGCTGCAGATTTGTTACAGGAATAAGAAGCAGTGATACGATCTGAGCCGCAGTCATCAGCGGCCTGTTCTTTGTTCCTTCACTGAAGCCTTACTGTACATTTTGATAAACAGACAATTGTTGTGGGGTACAGACAGGAAGAAACAAGGGAACCATAGACTTCCTGTATGAGGTCATTATAATGCCATGGAGCCAGTGTGAGGAGATAGGGGGCAGGCCTGTTTCGTCAAGCTCTTTTCCTTCTGTTGGAACCAGAAATACCTCCGCTGCTCCGGGGGGGTTGTTAAGTTAATGACCTGCCTCTCAGAGGGAAAGTGACATCATATTTGAATCTCAAAGAGTTGTTTAGAGGCTGTGACATGTGCCGACTTGATGTTTTAATCATTCAAAGCAGCGGTTACTGTAAGGTCTGTCATTTATTGTCAGTCCTACTCAACTGGAGATAATGCTTTGATGTCAGAGTATCATGACTTCATGCGTGCGTAACTGTTATTTGAAGTTCTGCAGAAAGCAAAGAAGCACAAAAGTTCTGTTATTTATCAAAGTCTGACTCACTCAGTCTGGTGTGGGAAACGAAGGAACCTCAGCTGATTATTAGTCCATTCGCTTATTGTGAGTCTGACTTCCACGCAGGATCGTTTCTGTCTGACTCTGACCACCTGGGTCGCAGTCCTGCTCACTTCATACTCTCTGCAACACAGAGACTTATGCAACGGCGTCCAGACACATGCCAAGAGAAATGTGTGCTCCACATAACATGACATCAGAGAACAAAGAGCTGAGGGTCAGAATCACTCAGAGTCAGACGAGAAAGAGCAGCCTGTTTGCTCTCCTGATCGGCAGAGTGAGAGCGTGTCCCACACTTCTGTTGGTGGTTCAGTCACGCTGCAAACTTCTCACAACCTGTTCTCCTGCTGTACGTGAGCCAAAGACACACACGTCATGTAAAAGAGTCCTTGTATTAGATTTCTGGGTGTAACGTTGATCCACGTCAAAATATCTGTTTTCTGTGAAGGAGACGAATAAATAACGACTTCATGTTTATGTTAATGTTTTGTCAGATCAGATCTCTAAAGCGCAAACCTTCTCAGATTGCACTTTAATCCCCAAACAGCTGAATAAGGTCGATAAACAAAGATGAAGGGTAAATAATAAATGATAAACTGGAGTCCTATAGGCTGAACCTTTTTTATTTCTTTTTTAAAGATTCATTTTTGGGCTTTTCATGCCTTTCTTGTAGAGACAGGGCAGTGGATAGAGTCAGAAATCAGAGAGAGAGAGAGAGAGAGAGAACACAGGAAAGGAGCCACAGGTCGGATTCAAACCTGGGCCGCCTGTTGCAGGACTACAGCCTCTGTACATGGAGCTCGCACACCAACCGCTACGCTTCCGGCCTTTTAAATAAAACGTTATAAATAAAACGTCAATCATTTATAGAAAAATATAAATATATATTAAAAGTTTGTTAGATGCGTTACCTCTCACGCTGTTGAAGCCGTCAGCTTGTTCTGTTGCACGTGTTTGACGAGTTTCAATGGATGAGCTTAAAGTGAGATAGTAAAGTAGTTATGTTTGTCATTTAGCACACAAATGCATAATTTATATTTTATTGTCATATAGACAGTTTAAAAGGAAAAACTAGGATGCTGAATGCACCATGATGTAATTTGAATCAACATGATTCTTCTCTTTTAAGATGAAAAGCTGCACTGATACATCTAAAATCTCTCCAGCTTTACATGTGGAGTATTAGAAATGTAGATGTCATGCCCCTTGAAGCTTCACTTTATTTAAATTCTGGTAAAGTAGTCGAGATGGACACAACTAGAGCAGATTTTCAACATTTCTTTTTCTGTAGGCAGAGGCCTGGATCAAAGGAAAGCTGCAGGACTTGAAGGATGGCTGTAATATTCAGCGCTGCCCCCTGCAGGACTGGGAGGAGGCCTCGCAGACGCTCCAGAGAGACCTCAAAGACTTTGAGAACACCTTGATTCAACTCAACCAGGTGACCAAAAGATCCAACACAAGGGTAAACTATTACCCAGGTACCAAAGCAAGCACATCACAGAGACCCCCATCTCATATGTAATGTTGATTTGAACCTTTTTCACAGGAAATGGAGATCTGAATGCAAGCATTAATCTCTGTCTGTGGTGCTAAAAGAGTCTGTCAGATCACATAACACCAAACACAGCGGTCTTGTTGCTATTTTCCAGTCGACCGGAGAGAAAAGCAGACCCTCAGTGTTCCAGACGGCTCTGACAGCACAGTTTATACTTTCTCCCTCTGGAGAAAATGTTTTGGAAATGGTACATGCTGATAATTAACCTCCTGTGACACTCAGACGGCTCAGGAACCGGGAGAGTTTTCACACTTTCATCCAAGAATTCAGTGTCAGCTTTTCAACGTCTGTGAAGCCTGGAGCAGTGAGTCCTCTCGAGGTGTCGGCTCAGCTCAGCCACTGTTGTCTGCTCAATCTGCGCTGCATCCAAAGTAAACAACGACTCTACTGTTCCTCTGTGTTTCAAAGATGGGTGAGCAGCTGATCTGCAAGCTGAACCCGTCCTCTGACCTGGTGAAGAAGCAGCTCGGTCAGCTCAGGGACCAATGGCAGGCCCTGAAACAGACGGCTGCCAATCAGACGAGAGCGCTGGGCGGAGCCAAAAACCTGCAGGAGTTCAACAGAAAAGTGGACAAGTTGGAGGCGTGGATTAAAGAGAAGGTGAGACAACATCCCCCTCTTTTCTGACGCAACACAAAGAGTAAGGAGTTTTGATCTAGTTATGAAACAGACTGACCTCTATATGAGCTACAAAGGCAAACTATGACATCATCGACTAGGTTTATAATTTCTATATTAAGTTATTAATGTGTCAGCATCGGACGAGCTGATTAACAGCACGCTGCAGAAACCGACTCTGGTAACATTTTCTACAGCAAAGACTCACAGTGTGTGATACGTTTGATTATTAAAAGACGCGTGTGCTGTCAGAAAACATCTTACACACGAACAGGGCTAAATCAGCACAGGCAGAAGATGTACGGCTTGTCCACAGGGGGCGCCAAAATCAACACAAACCAAAAATTCTTCACAGGAGCTTTAAAATTGTTGAGTTATTTTCATGCATTCTCATTCAAACTTTACATCTGAACTTTTTCCATATCCAACCCTGCTGCAGCATCCCTTTAGAGTAGATGAACATCTTTATTATCTTTGCCCCGTGTGCAAAGCTGCTGTGAAAAAAAAAGGACCAAAATGATGTCACACACACCCACTCAGACTCAACCCCTCACCCAGATGTACTTTATTATAATGAGAAGAGAAGACAGGAAAGGGGTCAACAGATGCATATTTAAACGTGGCTGTAGCGTATGTAGCAAACATTGTCACCTGATGTAAATATTGTTGCATAGTTGAAGATTTGATTTCAAAAGTTTATGTTTAAAGAGGTTTTCTGATCATAATTCCTGGAGTGATGATCATTTTAATGATGTTGGATTCAGGGAGTTGTGGTGAGGTGAGGTTTGTGTTTATGACTCTGTGGAGATCTTTTTTTCTCCTGCTGAACAGTAAACATGACATGCTTTTATACAGATATATCGATAGTGCAGTGGTGAAGAGACATGAGCAGCTGTAGTGTCCTCAGAACGGAGAGCTTCTGTCGAGCCTGTTTAACCAGAACGGTGGAGTTGATGGTCCATGTGAGGTCTTCTGTGAAGTGGTTTCTTGTAATTTAAAGCTAAAAACTCTTTCCACTTCGACTGTTTAGTGGAGAAGGATCCTCCTGTTTCTAATCTCCCAAAAGCTCCTCTCCTTCTTTTCCATTTTGATCCAAACAGAGAAGACATCCAGCTCTCCAGCTGCTCCAGTCCCACCTCTGGGCAACATCACTTTGCCCAGAGGTGCATTTGACTTGACAGACTGCTCTAATCAGCAGTTGTCAAACTAATTGGCATAAAAACAGGACTTGTTAATGGAGGAAATTAGCTGCGTGTCCTGAAGACATCTCTTGTTTGTATATTTTTACGGCTGTAAAACATCTGCCTGTCATTATCAAAAAGCAATCAACAGCGTTTCAGGCCTGTGTTTATCTCTCGCTTTGTGTCCGTGTCTGCACAAAGGAGCTGATGATTGAGGATGGAGCTGTAATGGAGGATGCTGGTTATGAAGTCGACAAAACATCCATCCTTACAGGAGAGCTGTACTCATGTTTTCCTTTTGTGTATTTGTTGGAGGTTTCTCTACCGACACTTGAGGCTCTTCCTTTTAGCATCTAGCTTGTTGCTAAAAATACATGACGGATGGGTTCCTCACAAACGGAGACTTTAAACAGTGACTGTGTGTGTGTGTGCGCCGGCAGGAAGAGGAGCAGTCTCTGGTGAATGTCCTCGGGGAGAATGTTGACAAAATGCAGCTGACCAGGAGGATTTTAGATCTGAAACAGGTGAGCGCTGCAAAGGAACAACTATTAAAGATTAACATTACACATGCTAAACACGGGGCACGGAAAGACACAGCGGCATATGTTAATGGTTACAACTTTGTCGAGTTATTCCAGTCTTTTATTTATGGCTGCATGTAATTTATCTCCCAGGGCGTATGGTAAAGACAGCTGAAGTCATACTTGGATTGTGTTCCTGTGTTTCTCTGCAGGACGAGCAGCTCTACAGAAACCTCCACGAGGAGATCAACCACTTGGCCCTGAGACTGGAGAAACAAGGGAAGACAGATGGCAAAAACATCTCCAGCAAGAGGAAGCACATCAACAAAATGTACACCGTGTTCCTTAAGTTGACCCTCTACATGAAGCTTTCAATGTGCACATGAATTAAAAACATTCCCTGTACTTTGATGTGCTGTGTGCAGGTGGCTGAAGGTTCAGTCTCATCTCAAAAACTACCATGAAAACCTGCAGCTGGCCCTGGAGTGTCCTCGTTCTACCAACAGGCTGATAATACGCTGTTTGCCATTAACAACATGGTACAACTCTCTGGATTTTTTTTCTTCATTCCGACTTAGAAGTGAGTGTCACATTTTACTCACATTAACTGGAACATGTCTTCCCTTTCAGAATAAAAGCATATCAGCATCCAAAGAGCTGGACAGCTTCGGAGACAGAGAAATACGAGACATCGCCAGTCAGATCATGGTAGGAAACATCTTCCTCTTAAAGCAGCACTGATTGGACGGATCCTGTGGGTGTGTTGCAGAATCCTTCTCCTCCTAACATGCAGGCGCGCGCGTGTGTGTGTGTGTGTGTGTGTGTGTGTGTGTGTGTGTGTGTGTGTGTGTGTGTGTGTGTGTGTGTGTGTGTGTGTGTGTGTGTGTGTGTGTGTGTGTGTGTGTGTGTGTGTGGTAGATGCTGGATGTGAGCGTGTCCCAGCTGTCTAATCTGCATCCTGCGCTGGCTGACGGCGTCACACAGAAACAGAGCGAGGTGAAGGACTGCTGGGCGCTCCTGCAGAAGGTTCTCAGGTAAGACAACACGCAGCGAGGATACCACCCAAGCAGAAACTGTTCTTCTCTGTTTGCTCTTCTGATTCATTTCTGTATATTTCTGCGGAGGCAAAAACCTAAAAGAAGAATGAAAATGAGCTTTGTATAAAGATTGACTCCCTCTTGATTAGCTTTGTTTAAGTTGGGTTTGAATCAGAGTCAAATTATGAGTTCAATTTACCAAATCACAGCGCATCACTCAACGACCACTTTTTGGTTTGAAGAATAAACTCTTCTGTTCTGCTTTGGAATAAGAGCGTGTGTTTGATTACGTTCGTTTACTGTACTGGAGGAGTTATGTTTTGGTTCTCCTAATCAAGCTGGCAACAAGCTTTGTTCTCTTCACCGCCCGAGGAAAAATCATGCTGCATCGAAGATAAAACATGTTTACAAGAATATTTTCTTATTTTTATGACACGTTTATTGTGGTTTTAATGGTTTCCAACACGAACAAAGACTTTGACATCATCCCATTATTATGATCTGTTTTACAAGTATAGCCTGCTGTTTCATAAAAGGAACCAAACTTTAAGCCCCCGTGTCCACCTAGCGGTTTTTCAAGGCAGAAAAGCACTAGCTGTGTGCTCGGAAAAATTAGCATGAAGCGATTGTGTGCTTTGAAGAAAAGCGCTGCACCTGCGTCCTGTCTCTATGACGATGGCTCCTATATGATGGACACTGCCCGGTTGCTTTGTTTGAGATCGTTTTTTCCCGATCAGACGCAGAGCAAAGAGGATGTGGGTACAAGACATGGCGGCTAAAATACAGGAAACATCTTACATTTAGAAAAGAGCGCCGGTCACGTAAACAGAGCCTCTCTGAAAAGTTGAGCTAGAGCTAGTGAAACTAGAGCGCTCGGAGCAGCCGCACAAAAAAGCTGGCACTCACCAGGAGTACACCGGGCCTTGTTTGTGCTGTTTGTGAAATGCGATCCATGGTGAATTATAGACGTAGAGCACAAAAGCATACAATGAATATTCTCTATGTTTTATGATAGTTTGAACTCTGAGGTTGCCGTGGTCATCAAACTTTTCCTGTTTATATATATTTTAAGATTATGATTGGAATGCATCTCTCAGGGGTCATGAATATTTGTCCTTTTTAAAGTTCACTCTGGCTAGTAGTTCTTACGTTATCTCACTTTGGATCAAAGTGTTGGACCAGCCACAGGATAATTCTGCAATCTTTTATGTCTAACTGGGGAAAGAAGATTGATATTTTCCATTTTCATGATGATAAATAGAGACAGGAGTAACTCAAGTCCACTGTTCTGACTTCCATCTCCAGCATCTCCTTCTTTCCAAATATTTCTCCGAGCCTGTCATGTCGACGGGCTATCTTTAGATCCAAGTATGACATCATCCTGCCTGTCTTATCTGCTGCATTTCATACTATTTAAACCTAATAACACAAACAGCGGGGGAAAAGTTCAGAGCCATACTTGGAGTCCATGTTCTCTGCTGTCAGCACCGCTGTAACCTCCTGCTCTGCTCGCTCTGCAGGAGTGACAGGACCTCCCTCTCTCCCACCGCCTCCACTTTCACCAGGGAAGATGCCGACCCCCTGACCCCAGCCCGAGAAGCCCAGTGCGTCGTGGGAACAGAGACACAAAGGATCATGGGAAAGGAGGTGAAGGAGGAGCAGAATCGTCTGAAAGGCTGCGTGGTGAGTAGCTTTGGTCATTTTTCATTTCTTCTAGTGGAGAAACCACAGTGTGGCTCTGCACTGAGAGAAAACAACAGCATCAGCGCTGACAGAAGATGAGCTCAGCCTCTTTCAGTCCTACGTCTCCTGTGGCCGCACAAAGTGACGCACTTTGTTCTTTGGGTTGGAAAATGCCTGATTTACAGCTTAAGGAGGTTTTTCCTAAATAAGAGTATTTTTAAAGGCAGTCACATGTGCCGCAGAATGCTGGCATCCGGGCCTGGCACTTAAAATACTGCTGGTTTTCCATCCTACCAGCTAGTTAGTTTTACTTAATAACACCATCTTTAAAAGTCAGATATTCTGTAAAATCCACTATCACCATGTTTCTCTATCTCTATTATGTGTCTCTAGTCTGTCTACAAATCCCCCAATGAAAAGTCCATCCTCTCCTTCTTTTGCCTGCTCAACTTTTCAGAAAATGTGTGCTCAAACAGGCTGTTTGGAGATTTTCCCTTCATGACATCACAAAGGGCAGTAACCCCTCCCCCAGGTGGGTGACACTCCCACAGCTAGGTGTTTGTTCTGTCCTCTGAGTCTGCCTTCTCACTGTAAACAATAGGACATGGAGCGAGAAAGCCCGAGACACCCAAGCCCTTCCAGAGAGGGGGCGTGGTCAGACACAGCTCATTTACATATTTAAAGGTACAGACACAGAAACAGCCTGTCCTGAGCAGGGCTGAGGGGTTTATAGGCATGATCAAATACAGGAGCAGAGTGGATTTAGAACAAGAAACTTCACACGCATGTTTTGAGGAGCTCTGAGAATTATTTAAACTGGTTGAAGAGGAGGAGATATGTGTCACCTTTAACACATTTTAAAGATTGTTCATCTTTGCTGTGTTATCTAGATGGAGTCAGGGTGTCTTTATTGTTGTCAAGCTTTTCATTTTCACAGTCTTTATGCACCATTAATGAAAATATTAATATCTGTCACAGTTCAGTCTGTTAGACGTTATTATTGTAATCAGAAAATCAATGAAATGTTGATGATACCTATCTTTTCAAAAAGATTTGAAAGAAAGCTTGTTAACAAACAAAATCCTGAAATCCTGTTTTTGAGTCCAATCCCCGTTTCGAGATGAGATCTTGACTTTGCTCTTGGTTTTCCTGCCGGTTTTCGTCTCCTGACAAGAACTTGAGTCTGCAAATGTTCTGAGTTTTGACCTGTGGAGTCATAGGAAGTCTTCAGAGGTGTTATTTAACCTGGCACAAGAACTCCAGACAGTTCCATGAAAAATGTCAAGCCGTGACTGCACAACATGGTAGAACTGAGGGCCAGACCAAATAAATCCAAGAATTTCACTTCATGCTTTAATGACATCTTGGCTTTTAACAAAGCTTCACAGTCTTTGGATTAAATGTCAATTACTGAGTGATGTGTGGGTCAGAGCGGGGTGAGAGGATAATCTGCAGAACATTTGGATTCCTCACGCACCATATTCCTCATCCCTGACGCCAACCAGCTCTTAATTGAACATGTCGGTGCTGCTGCAGTGACCTCCCTGCACATTACGCTCAAAGGAGATACTGTTAGCGTTGTTTTGAAGTAGAGGAGTGTGGTATGTTAAAAACCAGTAATTAAGTTTATATTTAGTCTTTTAAGTTAGTATATTAAATGTGTTTACAACCTGCAGGTGAATGCACAGTGGCAGTTAGGGCTCAGCCCCGAGGTATCCCAAAATGCAATGCTTCTTAAAGTTATCTTTTGGGGCCTTTTTGCCTTTATTAGATAGGATAGCTAAAGAGAGACAGGAAATGTTTGGAGGAGAGAGTGAGGGATGACATGAAGCAAAAGGCAGAGGGCGGATTCGAACCCCTCAGCCGCTGTGACGAGGACTATAGCCTCTGTACATGGCGCCCTTGACATGACCGCTAGGCCTAGGCTATCCAGTGTCCCAAAATGCAATGCTTCTTACCTTTTCTTGACCCTGAGCTAAAAAAAAACACCCACGGACATGCATGTTCGATCCATGATGACATAGTCCAAATTTTTCAAACACTGATTCTTTTTTTAGTAGATGTTCAGGCTAGTCTTCTTTGTCTTCCCTTCTTGTTAATATCCCTGCACCTCAGTGATGTGTCCATGTCAATGTCCTACAGTGGCTTTATGTTGGACATTTTGTAGGGGGCGCTGATGGGCTCACTTTTCAGAGCATATGCTGCATCTCAAAAAGTGAGAAGAAGTTGCAGACGAGAGAAAAGTTTTGTCTTTAAATCCTGCCTTTTGTGTCTTTATCCTCTCGTTGGCAGTGTAGCCTTCGCACCTGTGACTGGAGTTCAACAGGGCACAGAGCAGCCTCATTGTTAGTCTCAGTAAGCTCTGGGCTTGTTGGCACAGCCGCCCTGCCTCCTTTCTCTGCGGTTGTTGCCTTTATTGCGCTGGTAGCTGTTAGTTACCTGGATGCTTTGTCTGTTAGAGCCTCAGTCGTTACTCTTTATTGAGGGATTAATAAGACACTCAAAACAAAATCCCTGCAGCCCAAAGGCCAAACTCAACACCAGGCACCACCAGCGTTTGAACAGTGATTTTCACATACTTTCTCTGGAGCTCCTGTTTGTGCTTTATTTCTTTAATTGGAGTATTTATAAGAGGGAGAGATGCAGCTCCACTGGTCTGCAGGCTGCTCACACTCCCCTAAAGTCTGAACCCTCTGTGCTGTGATTGAAGACAAATATAAAGGTTGTAGTGTCTGTATAGATGTTTCCGTGCATCATAACCTATACGTCCTTTTTTCGGTGTTAACAGTAGTGCAGCCTCTTGTTTCTGGAGGTAAACATGCAGATCGTCTGTTTCTCTGGCTAATTGCAGCCAGATGCCGGGGGCTGCCGACCAGATGAGCTTGGTGCTAAGTGATAGTTCTTGGCTGACATCACCTTGCAGCACGATGCAGAGAGACACACGGAGAAGAGGGGATCAGGAGACAGAAACAGATAAAAATCACCAGACAGGGAGAAGTATGCTGGAACAGGAGACGACTGGATCGAGTTAAAAAACACAAAATACCATTGAATATGACATAACGAATCATTAAGCGGTTATTTTTTGCTGCGGCCGACATGATTTTCTTCTCGTATGGCTGAACTGGAAGTTAAGTGCACCACAGGAGTTGTTTTTAGTGGAAGATGAAGGACAGAGGCACATATGTGCAGAGGAGATGTCAGTGATCTGTTCGATGGATCTGAGTGGTTCGTTGGGCTGATAATGTCTCTCTGTGAAACCAGTCTATGAACTGACTGGCATGTTAGTAAATGATGTCCGAACGCTTCATTTTACTGCACCTCTGGCATCGTTCTAGAGGCGACACGTTCCTCCAGCTCGGTGACTCATTTCTTCTTTAAGTGCTCTCAGTAAATAACGTGGTTAAATTCAAGCTTCTCCATAAAACACTTTTATTAATGGCTGTTTTGTGCTTTTTGGCCGTCGTGGAAATTCAGCGTTTATAATTTCTCTGCCTTTGATGGATGCATATTTGCCTCGCTGATTGTTGCAGAGCACCGTTCGTGTGTCAGCTCTGTTTCTACTGGCAGATGTTAAAGACGTTATTTTAAACAGAACAATTAACACAACTCGTGGTCGACACGATTCATACAGTTGGACTGAAAAATGTCAGCATTAAAGAATGTTATTGTCGATACCCAAGTTTTACTGATTTCATTTATTTCATTTTATTCGGATAAGCCCCTTAAGATGTACCATCTTGTTTTCAAGGGGGTCCTTAAAGGAGACGCATCGGTGCATCCCTAAAGTAAACTTTTAATAAATAAATGGACAAGAATATAAAGTGGGGTGCCGGTAGCTGAATGGTTAGTGCGCGCCCAATGTACGGAGGCTGTAGTCCTCCAAGCAGGCGACCCAGGTTAGAATCCGACCTTTGTCTCCTTTCCTCCTTCTCTCTCTCTCTCTCTGTCTCTTACCCTGATTTCCGACTCTATCAACTGTCCTATCTACCTTTTAAAATAAACCGTTTAAACCATATAAAACAGAGAAAAAAGTTACAAAAAGAGCTAAAATGTAGAGAATAATAAATTATATCACGTATAAATATAAATGATTCATGATGTAGAAAAAGAATACGACCTCACTGGAGAAAGACTTGTAAAGAAAGTCAGTTTTTTTCCATGTTTTTGTTGATGTCCGATGATTCAGAAGGTGAAGTAGAGTCAGTAACAGGACCTGCGATCAGGAAATCCCACTGTGTTCTGTGTCCCGGTCCAGACACGTGGAGCTCACTGTGGAAACCCCGCTGCACAGTCTTTTGGCCAACCTTTAAAGCACTGCGATGGTTGTTAAAAAGGCTTAGTGGCTGTTGACGTCTTTGATATATTTCTGCACAAACACAAGGTCTGCAGCTTTGGCTTTGACCACATTTAAAACTCCACTGCACACTTCCAACCAGAGTCTGAGCACTGGGCCTGGAAATCACAGTCCAAGGCTGAACAACATGTCTGATATTTAACGAGGGTCGGAGAAAGGGGATTTCAGAGAGTCCTGTTTCCATCTGTGATGTCTCTTTGTTGTCATTAAGGAGGTGAAGCTCACATTGGGACTTAATGTGTTCATTCATAAAGTTCATCTTTAGTGCTTTTATTACAAACCTTTTCTGCCTTCTGTCTGCTCTGGTTTATTTTACACAGAATAGTCGACCTGTGTTAGGAAGTCCACTTTGTGTCATTTACAGGACACTTCTCCCCCGTCTCTTTGTAAAATTCACGTTAGCAGCGAGCTGCAGTAACGCCCTCGCTGTCTGACAGCTCTGTGAATAAATCCTCCATCTGAGCAGCTTATGCATCCTGTGACCATGAATGCTGTGGATGGTCGACAGACCGACGAAACTTTGCTCACGTCCTGATGTTGATCTGCTTCAGTGACTTAATTCTGTATTTGTGCAAAAACAAGATTAAAATAAAACAAAAACTTTAACTGATGAGATCAAAAATACACACAGCATGTAAATTAACACAGTGATCTAAAAACTCTTAATAATATATAATCAGTGAGTATGTTCTTCTTCTGCTCTCTAGTTCTTGACTAAAACAGCTTTTATACACAAGGGGAGGAGCCGGCCGTCCCGTCCATGTAAACACGACTCTGACAACAACACAGCCAGCAGGACTCGAGCTTCTCACTCATTGTAGACAGTCATGACTCAGAGACACATTTACACAGGATAGGCTGGATATCTGATGTATTTATGTGTAACATGTCATACATTCTGCCTTTAATGTGTCTGTGATTCTAAAAGGAACCTTCCTCACATTCAAACTAAAAACATCCTAACCGCCTTGTCACAAATCTACAAGCACATCGTTTTTGGATTATTTCCTGAAGACGTTTATTCTTGTCTGTCCACAGAGCTCTGCTGAATGTGGGATCGGTACGAGATCTCCCAGCAGCCAAATTTCTGAGCAGCAATCAGTGAACCACACCTCGTCACCCACGGGAGACGACCCAGCCTCCGCTGATGATGTCATAGTCAGACATTTATTGGAGGGGGAAAGGTGACATTTCAGCCCCCTCTCTTCCTCCCTCTCCTCTCTCTCTCTCTCTCTCTCTCTCTCTCTGTGACTTACATAATGAGAGGTCTTTATGTAAGTCATAATTGGAGTCACATGTCTGTGTTTTCTTTGCAGCAGGAAGCCGAGAGCAGAGCCGAGTCCTGGCACCGCCCCACAAGGCCACACACAGCTCCACACTCAGCTCCAGAAGTTCACCGTGTCTGCTGACAAGGTGACCTGACCGCCGCTTGCCACGCCTACTTTTACCTGTACATCAGAAATCACTATCCAATTATGATTCTACACTCAACAGAACAAATGTTGAAACAAAAAGATTTAACCTTATTATGAACAAAAGCCTCACAACTAAGAATCGTCCAGTCGGCATCGCAGCTTCACTCAACAACTATCACACCGTCTGTTGTAAGCCGCCACAGACATTATGTCACATTTTGAAATGAGCTTTGTGGTTTTTATTTCTGCTCTCGTTTAAATTTCTTGATTTTAAATAAATGTTTGGTACGTTTTAAAGACATGTAAACATTCATCCAGTGCCTCTGGGTTCTTTCTTCTAAATGTTGTCTCTCTTCTTCAACACTGGGCTGCACAGTGGTTAGCGCTGTGGCCTCACAGCGAGGAGGTTCCTGGTTTGAATCCCCTCTGACAGGAGCCTCTCTGTGTGGAGTTTGCATGTTCTCTCGTGCATGTGTGGGTTCTCTCTGGGTACTCCAGCTTCCTCCCACAGTCCAAAGACATGCTCATTAGGTTAACTGCTGACTCTGAGACTAAATAGACTAAAGACTAAATATAAACTCAGCCCTGTGATTGGCTGGTGAACAGTCCAGGGTGTACCCCACCTCTTGCCCAATGACAGCTGGGATCGGCTCAAGCCTCCCCAAAAGAAGAAGCTTTATAGATAATGGACAGGCAGCTGTTCTCTGCTAATGCACTTTTTTTTTTCACCATTTGACCTGGGAAATCTTACAAGTTACTTCTGCATAGTAGCTCTATTTTGTGTATTTTATTTCCTTTTATTCTATTTTAACACGACTTATAATAATAACATTCTTTATTGATAATATTCTGGTTTTATCTCTCATTGTTTTAAAGTGTTTTATTACAGAACTTATTCTTTGGAAAGTCTGAGTTTTTTTTCTGTGCTGTGTAAAGTCATTTCAGTGCTTCAGTTTAAAACATGCTATATGAAATATTTTTGCCTTGTGTTACCATTGACCCATTTCCTCTTTGTGTTTTCTCTCAGACTCTGTCCTGGCTGAAGGACAACGTGTCCATGGCCACACAGGTGTGTTCTATAGCCAGCTTCGAGGGTCTGGAGGCGGCCCGGAGGTGTCAGCACGCTCTGGAACAAGAAATCCTCAGCAACAGGGCCAGGATCGAGGTGGTCAAAAGGGTGAGCCAAAGCACACTGTCAAATTCAGGGTTTGTCAGAGAAACATAAGCACTGGATGGATGCCCTGAATGAAAATATCCCCCACATGTTGCAGACCAGGCCTGGCTCGTGTATTAATCGAATAATGAGCTGACATTTCATCTGAGACGGCTTAACTTGCCACAAACTTCAGATTAGGTCGACTTTTCTCAGCATGATCCCCAGTCCTCAGTCATCACATGCTCTGATCGGTTTAACGCTGCTTCCTCAGGAGGGCCGCGAGCTGGTCCGAGCCCAGCACCCGGGCGGCGCCAGGATCGAGGAGTTCCTGGGCCAGCTGGAGGTCCTGTGGGAGGAGCTGAGGAGGAGGCACCAGAGGAATGGAGTGTTTCTGAGGGCCTCAGAGGAGCTGGGCTTCAGGGTAAGATTTCATAAAACGCCTCACAGCAGGCGCTCCTGAGTCATACTGAAGGAAGGGAGTAACCTCCGGAGTTATCGGGGAAATTTATGGTTATGACGGATGATTCTGGATCAGTTCTCTCATGGTGAGAGGCTCATGCACTCAGGGTTAGAAGCTCTTTACTTTCATCTTTACCACCTTAATTGGCAGGCAGAGTGGTATATATCCATAATTTATGAAGCTAATCCAAGGCATATAAATTGTGCTGCCATATAATTCAATTATGGGATGGAAAGAGGCTGAAAATCCACCCAGATTGATGACTCAGTTGGAAAGCATGAGTCTTTTATTACCGAAGATGTAAGTCACAGCATGGTCCACTTCCATTAGGTAAACCCATTGCTGTTTCCTTTGTATAGAGCATCAACTCTGTTTGTTTTTGCAGTTCACTGAATCACTTGCAAACCCTCTACATGATTACTCCCTCTGCTGTGAAGGTTGTAAAAGTGCTGCAGGCTCTGGGCAGTCTGGAGGCCTGGCTGGAGTCTGTGGAGCTCTCCCTGAAGGAGTCCGCTCTGGCCGGTGACCCTGAAACGATGAGCGTGGCGGAGAGGGAGAGCTGTCTGCTGGAGGAGGAGGTGGCAGCACGCAGTCTGGAGCTCGGCACCCTGAGGCAGGAAGTGGACCGTCTCCAAGGGCACAGTCACCCCCACACTCGAGGCCTGCCAGCTCGCATGGAGGAGGTGGAGAGAAAGTGAGTTTGTTAGAGGAGGTCAGGGGTATTCCCAGGATGTCAATCATCAGGGGAGCTCATGTTATGATCTGAACATTTAGACTCTGGAGGTTTCACTCATCACTGTGGTCAGGAAATAAAACATGTCAGTGTTTCCAACAGGTCACAGGGTTGGGCTCAGCGTTTCTGCCATCCAACATGGAAGAGTTTATTCATGAAGTCCCCAGATTGGATTTAACACAAACAATTTCACCCCATAAACGACAAAAATATACATCCATAAGATGTGTTTTTTTTTCTCCAAGTTGGCAAAGAAATCTCTCCATGTGCTCATTCGGTGCAGAACTGGAGTTTAGCTATGTCTCCCCCTCAGTCCTGACATGCACTTTACTCACAGCTTGTCAGTTTGTGTCAGACTCACCAGTTCAGTGTTTGCAATATGGCTCACCTTTCTTCGGATGGCTCTCCACAGACTTGTTGTTGCCATGAACTTTCAGTATGACCTGATGATGCTGGCTGGTTCACTGGACGTACCTGTGTCTAAAAACAGACTCTGCAAAGATCATCAACTAAAATAACGAAATGGAAAGGCTTCAGTTTGACTGTTTCCAGGGTGGGGGTATTAGAGGAGGCAGGTAGAGGATCCCACTCAGCAGCTGGAAGACACTTGTGCTGAGGTCATTATTTAACACAACATATAAGCAGCTTAGGGCTCATTTCTTCTGGAGAAAATACTCTTTGAAATGTCTCCCTTTTCCGTCTCAAATATAAACTCTGCACGGACTGAGCACCTTCATGCCCTGGAGTACAGGATGTGTTTATATGACACATGATATATGATTACATTAACAGCACTCCAGCACAGGGACATGCTGCATGTGGTCTCTGTAATGCGGTTTTTCTGAAGGATGCAGGCGTGTATATACGGATGTGAATTATAGTTAAGGTGTAGCTGGTCACTGAAACATTCCTGCTGCTCTGTGTGTGTGTGTGTGTGTGTGTGTGTGTGTGTGTGTGTGTGTGTGTGTGTGTGTGTGTGTGTGTGTGTGTTTCCCAGGTATCATCGTGTCCAAAGTGCCTTAACGCAGCAGAGCTCAGAGCTGCAGGACACACGGATGCTGACAGAGTTCCTGGAGCGCGTTGAGCTGGAAGAGAGTCAGGAGCTCAGCGGGAGTCAGTACAGCCTCGGCCAGGTGAGAAAAAGGTTGTTTTTTATTTCAATTGTTTATCATTTCTATTGGTCGGTTTGGCTTTGAGATATTCTGCGAGGTTTCAGACACTCACCCTGTGAAGGTAAAGTGATGCTTGAATACATTCTTTAAATTTAGCAGCATCTTGTCTTGCATAAGCGGAGTTTCCTTTCTCTTTGAACACCAACCTCAACACTCCTGTCATGTAGTAGAAGCAGAAATGTTGAAGACAAATATCTTAAAACATAAACCAACTAAACCAAACACTCTGTATGGTAGATACCACCGGGGCACTTATTCTTTCAAATGAACCAGGACCCGTCTGATTACTCTCTCTCTGCGCCTAACAGCCTCTTCACAGCGAGATCTCCTCAGCGCCGACATTGCTGGGACTCCAAAGCAGCAGTGGTGGAGAGCCCCTGATCGAAAGCATGGGAGACCCTGTGGAGGAACTCAGAGAGGCTGTAGAGATGCTGAACGACACCGTGAGAGAAAGAGGCCGATCTCAGAGCCACGATCAGGCCGTGCAGGAGCTGCTGAGAAAGGTCAGGAGAGGAGAGTCAGCTGAAACTCTCTAAAGATAATGAGAGTTCTTGTTGTAGTTCATGTTTAAAATGTTTGTTTATAACCGTAGTAGACGATGCTGAATGGTGTTTAAGTCTCTGCTTTTGGCACAAACAGCTGCACAAACCAATAGAGCCACATCTGGTTTGCTTTTGTCTGTGGTTATGTACTTTAATAGGCCCCAAACGAGCCACACTCCTCCTCGCATGAGTGTTTTTGCGCTAATTCGTTTTATTCTTGCACACATGTCAAAATAGCACATGCACACACGCCCGCGGAGGACTCCATGACACCATTTGAAACACTAATTTGCAATGTGGCTCTCATTGGAAAACAAATAATACACAGTGAAGCATAATGACTTAATGACAGCCTGCGTGTGCTCATGATGACTTTGTGCCTCTCCAGCATGCCAGCCTGGTCGTTCGAGTGGAGGAGAGTCTGTCCTGCAGCAAAGAGCTCAGTCTGGACATCCTGGAGAGGGAGACGGACATGGCCGTGCAGTGTGACCTCGAGCGCTGCGGCATCGAGAGTCTGCAGGCAAACAGAACAGACTGGAGGTGAGTTTTTCTCATTATTATGGTCTGCTGTTTTCTTTTCCGTGAAAATCCAATCCAGCAACAATCTTGACTCCCATGCATGTCCGCCACAACAACAAAATCAACTTATAACAAACACTGAACAAAATGACAGTCAAGGTATGGGTCTCACAGACTCAGTTAGCTGCTAGTTGTTGCTAACATGTAAATAAAATAAAGTTCTAATGTGACTGGTTGTAAAAAGTGGACCTAAGACTTGTTGGACGGTCTGTTAGTCAATAAAGCTCACAGAGAGAGACAGATTATTAGTCTGATATTTACAAGAACAAATCTCCAAAAGACTCCAACAGCACAAACACGACCCAGAGGTTAAAGGTCAGGGACTGAATTATCTGAGGGGACACCTAGCAGACAGCTAGCAGCTCCCACCTGTCATTCAAAGAGGCCACGCCCCCTAATTCTACATCACTTTAAGACTTAATGTAATGTAAACAGGTGAGTTATATAAACATTCAGCCCGTACAGTTGAAGAGAGAAATGAGCTCTAGAGACCCAAACTGTTTTTATACCAGACTGTAAACATGTTTATTTTAACATAGAGCTCTATGGGGACTGACTCACTGCAGGAGACAGACTCTAGTGGACACTGGAGGAACTACAGTTATAGCACTTCTGTGTTGGCTTAATTTGTCTTTGGAGGTCATTACTTGTTTATACCATTGATTCTGGCGAAACAGAACAGATTTTAGCAGCTTAGTATTGTTTAGAAGAGAAAGCCCCCCTCCCCCTCCTCCTCACTTTCCTCTAACACATTGTTCCACCGCCTGTTTCCTGTTGTGCCAGATTTTCTCACATCTAAAAAAGGGCCAGCCCACCCTGCTTTGATTTATAGTATAAACTGCACCGTAAACAATCCCACAGATACACACACAGAGCGTTGAAAAGTTTGTTATTCACACAGGATGTTTATTTATGCGTGTGTGAGTCATTATTGTTCACAATGTAAGAGTGTGTGACGTGGGTGTGTGTGTGTGTGTTTGTGAGAATATCAGGTGGGGTGTGTTTTGCCTCCTGGGGGTCATTGGTTGAAGGTGTGATCTTGGTTGATGGTAAAGTTGTGTGTGAGTAATTTTTTGGCAGTGTGGTGTGTATCACACACACACACACACACACACACACACACACACACACACACACACACACACACACACACACACACACACACACACACACACACACACACACACACACACACAGCTGTCTGGACTTGATACGACTGAAGAGCAGAAATGAGCTAATCTCCCAAACTGAAATAAGCATGCCATCAGCAGACAGGCATCCACAGCTCTGTGTTCAGGCTTACTGTAGCTGAGAAACATTATGGAGTATACTTCCCAGAGAGCAGTCAACACTATTAATTACGGCTCGTCAAAGGGACAAAAAACAGTGGGAGCTTGCTTTGGCGTGGCAGCCCATATGTAGACCATATGGCTCTCCAGCTGAATGATATGCAAAAAGCATTGATGAGGTCATACAGAGATACTATTGCTACAGGCTGCCTGAGAGATACAGTGCATGATGGGAGATGATGGATATGTAGTGTGACTCTCCACAGGTCACCTATGAAGTCATCAGGGAGGAGGTAAAGGAGGTGCAGGAGCAGGCTTCTCGGCTGGAGGAGCTGTGCCCAGAGAAGGTGCACGTGCTTGGGGCGAAGATCGGGGCGATGCTGCAGGGCTGGACGGAGCTGGGGAGGAGTGTGACGGAGAACAAATCACGGGTGCAGGAGTTTGTGCAGCTCCAGGACTTCTTCAGGAGCTACCTCGCTATGATGTAAGCAGAGAAGAGGGAGTCATTGGACATATATGATGCAAAGTTGATGCACCATACTCTGAGTATCTAAATTATACGATAACATGCATTACAATTTATAACCTCTAGCTGCAAATGATCTCCAAATGAAAGCTTTGTCAACTTCTGATTTTATAAAGTTTTCAGTCTGGTTATCTAACCTTTTTATTTTTATTTTTATTTTTTTAGAGAAAAATTGCATTGATCTACAAACTTAACCTTTATCAACACATTAAGCTTCTGTACTATTAACGTTGTTTGATCATTGAAAATACTTTTTGGGCCTTTGCCTTTAAGAGATATGACAGGTGAAGAAAGATAGGAAATGTTGGGAGGACGGGGGAGGGGGGGGGGACATGCAGCAAAGGGCAGAGGTCGGATTCGAACCCATGGCCGCTGCGACGAGGATTCCACGAGCCTCTGTACATGGGGCATGCAACATTATCCCTAGGATATCTTCACCCCCAAAAAGCCATTACTTTTAAATTGATATTAAATTCTAACCTTCTGATCTTTTTTTGGCCACCACAGAAATACTCAGCATGTTGTCATGGAAATGAGAATCAGTTATAGATTTCTGGTAACAAAAAGTTACATTTTTTATTTACATATCATCCTAATAATTGCATAATAAAAGATTTATGCTTTGAAGTTGTATCCATGTAATATGGGGATACTATTCTGTAGTGTTTTTTTTATCCCCTCCCCTTGTAAGCAGGGCAGGTTGTGACCCTTTCCCTGACCAGATTTTCTTTCGTAATCCTCAATGAGAACATCTGCCTATTACGATATCTTCTAAAGGAGAGAACAGGATGTTCTCGTTGTTAAGCACAGGTCCCTGGTGAAATGTATAATTTAAGATGTGTTCAGGAGGTCAGCTGGAGTTTCCTGGGCCAAGTGTGACAAGGCGATGAATGTCTGCGCTATTAGGGAGCGTCTGCTTATTCTCAGTTTCTTTCTTTCTTTTGGGATGTATGGCTTTCCTCACAGTCCTGTTCCTTGTCTCCTCCACCACCTACTTCCCCCCTCCCCCCACTCATCTGAGCAGCTCATGGACAGAAGACACCAGGTCCTACATTTTCTCTGACGCTGCCTTGCATATTGGGAAAGATGGCCGGAAGCCGCTCGCTGCAGAGCTGGACCTGCAGATCGAGCAGAAGTTTGATGAGTTTGACGAGCTGGTGGCCACGGGGAGGAACATTTTGGACAAAGAACACCATCTCAGACAGATGGTGAGTAGGACTACACACCCTCTTAAATATTCAATTGTACTGTTGGTTTTATTTTGTCCTGCCTGTACAAACCCTGAGTCATGTGTTGCAGGTCAAAGAGCGCATGGAGGAGCTGAGGAGCATGCTTGGCTGGATCTTGGTGCACTGGAGGGCTCAGAAAAAACAGTGGCTTCACAAAAAGTGCAAACAGGAGCTTCCACAGGATAACATTTATTCAGAGGCCACGATGTGCTCTCCGAGAACAGAGGTAGATGAACCGAGAAGCCTGAATGACTCTTTTAAATAAGATAAATCCCTTAAAAGTGATCAAATGTACCTTTTCTCCATGTGAGGAGTTTGCTTTAGCTTTAAACTAATCTTAAACGTGTCCTGCTTTTAAGATGTATCAAACATAATTGGTACAGATAAAGTTCTCATTCACCGTTGTAAATATTCATTCATTTTTGTCTCCATTGCTTCTTACAAAGAGTCCACCTCCTGAGATAGAGGACTACGTCTCCCATCAGCCCCCTGCCGTCACCTCTGATGAAGACAGACAGAATTCATCAGGTGACAGTCGGCCTTCTTCCCTGCAGCTCCGACATCCCGAGCCTTCAGAGGAGAAGCAGTTCGAGGACGGGTATGAGGTTATGAAATGCATCGGACCACCAGGCGGAGAGACCTCCACTCCCTCCTCAGAGTCTCCCAAACCGTCTATCGTGGTCCTCAAAGACCCCAGCGCTTCTGCTTTAGGGGGCACGGTGAACCTCATCCTCAGCTTTGCTAACACAGGGGACAGCCAGGTTCAGGTGCTGGACCCACCTGCTGGGACCTCTGAGGAAGTGGATGAGTCCTTTGAGCCCATGCACAGGGTGAGAAAAACATTCTCCACTCAGTCTAGAAGATAATAAAACATTATTTTAGGACTTTTCTATTTGTTCCTGAAAAACAGCAGCAGCATTCATTCTCTGTAGAGACACTGCATGGGACCTCCTGCTGCTGTTCATTCCTCCCTCTCTTCACCTTCACATCCTCCTTTTCCCCCATTTTTCTCCCTCAGCTCACTGTGCCTCAGCCTTCTGCCTGTAAAAACTTTTGGAGGCGCTGCCAGGGCCTTTTGGAAAATACTTTGGGTAGTTTAAAACGAAAGAAAAAGATTTATCGGCAGAGTGCAAACGAGGTAAATTGCGCTTTGTGAATTGGCGCTGCATGCTGCGTCTCAAAGTGTGCTGGGACTGCATGCTGTGTGAGGTTGTTGTTTCTGCAGGCAGCATGCTCTACTAACTCCTGTTACGAGGTTCAGTCAGGCTGCAGCGGAGCTGCTGGTGCCCTGTCTGCACACCGGGTGTGAAAGTACAAAACCAAAACAAGTCGTGCTAAAGTGTTGTCATATGTGCACATACACCATCGACAAAGTCAACGCAGCTGGATTAAAGTACAGTTAATGAGAGAAAATAAATAAAAAACGCTTCACTGTTAAATGCATCATTTCAAACTAAACTGCAGAAACTTAAACAATCAGAGACTTGAAGGCTTCGCAATCAGGAAATAAATGAATCAAGTGTTTGACATGAAAGTAGACAAAATGAGCGTCATAACAAAAAGATGAAGTGCTTTGAGAGTAAAGACAGTTTGATTAAAATACAGATCTAACATATACATGTATAAAGAGTGCATGGTAATGCATTTAGGGACTTTATATTTTGGACCAATCACAGCGCTCTGTACTGAGTTTGTTTGGTCGAGTTTACAACCACAGACGACAGCACACTGTGATGTTAACGATACGTTTCTGATTGTGGTCACCCGTAGCAACCAGCAGATACCTGCATGATAAGCACAGACAGTGTGAGAAACAAAGAAACCGTACACAATGAAATATTAACACTTAACGACACCACGTCTCTGTTTGAAAGTCTGCAAAGAACTCATTTAAAAACACCTTTTAAAAGACTGACTTGACTTCCTGTTTGTTAAGTAGATCACAAGAGGCCCAAGCCGTGGGGGGTAATCTGAACGAATCCCAGATCAGCTGTGATCAGTTTCAACATTAGTAAATGTCGGTAGTGTTGAGTAACGGATGTGTCGTTCAATTTTTATGCAAAAGAGAAGAAGTTCTGTGTCAGACTTGAACAATATGACTGAAATGCAGTGAAGCGTCTCTTCTACATCGTGACAACATATTTTCTATGTGCTGTGTTGTGTTGCCTTGTTACAAGTAATCATAACGTATTCAATGTTTTTATACCCAACATCAAGTATTATTACAACTCAGAAATCTTTTCATATCCAGTTAAACTGTAGATAAACGTTTTGGATTCATAGTGAAGTAGGGTTACAAACTGTTGTCGAGTGCTTGGTGTGAAATAGACTCTGAGTTATCTCTGCAGTTTGGAGAGTGAAGGGAGTCTTGTAACCTGTTTTAACACGGATTGTTCAGTAAGCTAGATGCAGTGAAAACAAAGGCGGACCTTTGACTAAAGACGACGACGACCTCTTCATACAATCATCTGTCAGTAGTCTTTTTCCCTTCAGCTCGTCTTGTGTAAACTCAGATGAATGAATAAATCCCCTGCAGACGCTCAGACAATTAATCAGTACACTTACAGTCCAACTTTCCTCTGATGAAACTTTTCTTTGGACCTGGACTCGTTCATGAGTCTGGATTTCTGCCTGGAAGCTCTGATGACAGAGACAGAAAGAGGGTGATGAGTAAGAAACACACTCTCACTAGCCCTCCTGCTGTGAATGTTGACAGACTCTCTCTCTCTCTCTCTCTCTCTCTCTCTCTCCCTCTGTCATTTCACCCCCCATCCTGAGGTGAGCCTACTCTTGTCTGTCTCTGTGAGGCGCTGCCACGACGGTGTAAAATAAGTGACCTCATCTTCACTTCCTATGAAACTTGTGCTCCAAAATGGCTCCCAGCAGGAGGGTGTCTGTAACGCCAACACAGGCGCAGTCATTAGAGAGAGAACTGGTGCTGAACTCAGTAGAAAGGCCCCCAGACTGCACACAGTGATTTATAGTCTGGGGCTTCCACAGAAACAAGAGATTAGTCACAGAGTTGGAAGGTCAAACCATTACAGCTGCACATGACGGCATGTACAGACACATGTGATTCTGATTACCATCTGCAGGCGTGGAAATGCATCTCTGTCTATGTTCTCTTGTTCCTCTCATCTCATGTTTGTGTTGTTGTTTTACATCTGCATTGCTGTGTGAGGTTTGTATATTTCTAAATCCATTGTTTTCTCGATGTTGGATGTTTGAATAGTAGCTGATTGTTTTAAACAGTTTGTCTATCGTCATGTGTAACTTATTAAATACGTCTTGTTTTTGCAAAAAACCGCAGGGCTCCAGTGAGGTTGTCATCACTTTCAGTACTCCTCCATACCACGTGTTTTAAAACAGTATAATCCTTGTTATTTTTACATTCAACAGAATCCAAAAGTAACAAAGCTTTGAAAAACATCAGATCTTTACTCGTAGTTTTAACCAAAAGCTGCTGCAGCAGTGGTCATTTCAAATTCCCAGGTGGACAAATATGAATATAAAGTCTCCTACAAACAGACACAGAGCAGTGGAAGTTCTAGTCATTAAAAAAAAAAAAGAAGCATTATTGGGTTTCCAGGACTTCTGTTTTTTTCCCCATGGGGCATCAAAACTGGTATCAGTATCTTTAACTTAAAAAAAAAGTGGATAGAGTCGGAAACCAGGGAGAGAGAGTGGGGAACGACACGCGGGAAAGAGGCCACAGGCGGGACGCGAACCCGGGCCGTACGCTTGAGAAGACAGCCTCGATACATGGGGCGCGGGCCCCAACCATTGCGCCACCAGCACCCCAGTATCTTTGACTCTTATTAGTATCAAATCAAAAGTCCTAATCATGCTGCTGTTTTAAGATGTGGTGGCATTTCGCCTTCAATCTGAATGTAGCTCCACACACACACAAGCCTGTGTGTGCGTGGAGCTCCCGCTGTGCCGTGCTTCCTTAGCGGCAATGTGAACTCACAGACTGGGACACCAATATTACGCTGTCACAGAATTAATATGAACCTACAAAGACGTGATGACGACTGAGCTTAGTTACGGCGCTTTTGAAACAAACTGCATTCTGAAAAATGTCTTAAATTAAATTAAGATTCTGGTACAGTGACAACCCTAGACTCCAGCCTGCAGCATGCATGAGTCTTCCTGGTGTTTTTTTAAACGACAAAGCATGTATAGTCGGAGTGATGTGCAAACAAAAACCTAACATCCTCTCTTTTCGTTTTACAGGTAAGCACCTACCTGCATGTGAAGGATAACAACTCGTCTGCAGCACCAGTGTACGAGAGTATCACCCTGCCCCGCCAAAAGAGCCGCTCTGCAGCCTCAGCCTCCCCTACTTTCTCGCCGCCGTCGTCCTCCTCCTCCTCCTCTTCTCCGTCATCCACAGCGCATGCACCTCAGACAGCCAACGTGTCCTTCCACCCTATGACCGCGGGCGGCAGCAGCTCCATCTTCAGCAGCCTGAAGAGGATGGGCAAGAAGAGGAAGAGGAAGCGGGACGCTCGCAGACACACCATTCAGAAAATCATGGGAGTGGAGGAGCGAGCAGAGGGGAGGCTTCAGTATGACTATGAGACGTTCACATACGACACACACACATGGCCTCTGAAGGAAGCCAGGAGGAAGAAGAGTTCCCCAAAGAGCAGGGATGCAGTAGAAGCCACGGCCTACATGAAGAACCCCCTGCTGAAGGACATAGACACAGAGTGTTCAGGGGAATACAGCATCATTCCGTACGCTGTTTCAGAGGGGACGAACGATCTGCTCGACTCGAACCCTGTGAGGACTCACTGCAGATTCCTCTCTCTGGGCTCCGTGCTAAGCTTCGAGCTCCCTAAAGACATGGCGCTCATCCCCAGCATCCAGGACATCATCACTATCGCCCCGCCGGAGTCTAAAACAGGAGCCGGGACTGATCCAGACCCCCTCTCACAGAGACACTCAGATCTGAGCTCCTTCAAACAGACTCGAGCTGCTCCTGCTGCCGTCACACACACATCAGCAGATCTGTGTGCTTCTGAAGCCCCGTCTTCAACTGCTGTAGTGAAAGGTCTTCTTGATGTGGACACAAGTCTCCAAACACCACCTCCTCCTGTGACTCGAGAGGAGGGCGAGGACCACACTGTACCCTGTAACGACCTGTTGAAAACTGAGTACAGTCTGCAGGAGGACGCAGAGCAGGAGTTGGACAAAATGTCCTCAGAGGTTAAAACCAGTCCAGCTGATAAAGGTGACACCAGCCTGTCCACACAGCTCCCTATTTATGTTAACCAACCCCACACTGAACATAAACATGGCTGCCTGAGTGTGCACACGCTCATTAAAGACCTAAGTGGACACATGTACCATAAATGTTCCAGACCTCACAGTTCGCATGAAGACAGTCCTGGCCTTCAGAGTCAGAGCCAGGCGTCTCACTTGGTCGTCAATCTGAAGTCCACGGTGAGCGTGAGTGTCCGTCAGGACTCTGTGGACTCTGGGATCTCCACCTCCAGCAGCATCAGGCTCTGCACCGATGCTCCGTGTCAGGAGCAGCCCAGAGGAGTGGTGGGGAGGCTCCTCTCCTTAGAGGTGGAAGGGGTAGACTGCACTAAAAGAAGGGAGGACACTCTGAGTCCTCCAGGTCCAACGACAAACTCAGCCGAGTCAGAAACAGAGCCGGTGCACCTCGACCACCAGCAGTTTGAGGAGGAAGAGGAGGAGCTGGAGGACATCTGGAACCAGAAAAGTAACTACAGACAGAGTATCTGCTCAGACATCATGTACCAGCCCAACCAGGATGAGACTGAACCCTCACACCAACCCACGAAGCCCCCCTCACCCTCCCCATCCCCTCAAACCCCTGCAGTACTCTACAGGAACCTGGCCACAGCCTCAGCACCAAACCTCCTGGTGGCTGAGTTCAGACTGCCCTCCCACATTCAGAGCCTGCTTGGTTACAACAAGGAATCTAAAGGTCAGCTCCCCCTGCTGGCCGCTGGAGACAGGAGGTCCTGGGCAGCGTTTCCTAACAGAGAACCAGCCAGCAAGAGCTCAGTGACGGTGAACGAGACGGCGTCCGACCCAGTGAAGCTCCCGGATGTCAGTGACAATCAGAGATATATTTATCAGTACAGAGAGGACGAGGAGGAGGGGGAGGAGGCGAAGGTGGGGGAGGAGGTGGATGAGCACACGGGCTGTGTGAAGGTGAGGTCAGCGTATGAAAATCTGTGATATCAAAAAAATCCTGTGAGACAGAATCAGTTCACCCAAATTACTTACAAGACAGCCTCTAGTGGACACTGGAGGAAATGCAGTTTTTGGGACTCCTGCGTTAGCACTTCTTGGGTACAGTTTAAATACTACCCAGAGTTTGAGTGTGAATGTGATTTATCTCTCAGGAAGCATCATAGACACGTCAAATCAGCCTCTCATTATTGTAGTGTTAGAATTTTTGTTCCATGTAATTTGGGTGGACTGAAAGTTTAACCCTCCCTGTTTCATACATGAGAGTCCTAATTAATGAAGTAAGAACCAAGTGCATACAAACAAATGTTTAGGTGAGATCAGAAGCTTTTGTTGTTGAGATGAAATGTTTGATACTTACATGAGCAGCTCACCTTCTGTCGTCTCTGTCTCTCTGATCAGGACCAGTCGATGAGTCTGCTGTCAGTTCATATGAATGTGGAAGGCGTCTGTCAGCAGAGAAAAGCCTCTCACAGCCTGCATGTCAAGGAGACGCAGGAAGAACCGATGTCCACCAGAGGGCGCTGTATCACCCTGGTGAGAGTGAATTCAACCTGTTAGAAATACGGCTCAGAGGGAGGTGTTTGTTTCATTTTGTGTAAATGTGCTGTGTTTATTTCTCTCAGAGTGGAAAGTCTGAGCTGCAGTCGATGGAGGGTACACTGGAGCGGAAGCACAAGCTGCAGTTTGGAGGAAAGAAAGTAAGAAAGACTCGTTCAGAGTTTCAGGCAAGCAGATGGAAAGCTCGCAGTCGGCAGCACAAACTCATATCTTATTTTCACAGGCGACCTCCAGAGGCTGGAACTCGTACCACGCTGTCCTCTACAGACACACCTTGTGCTTCTACCAGGACAGAAAGGACACACTGAGGGTGAGCAGAAATATACAACTCAAAGAATCAGAAATGATGAATCATTTAAATGGATTTCATGAAGTTAGTTATGATGCCTTTCTGCTGCAGAGCTCTGCATGCAGTCTGCCGCTGAACCTGCTGGGAGCTGAGTGCACGCCCGCACCTGAGTACACCAAAAAAGCCAACTGTCTGCGACTCCAGTAAGACGGAAACCCCCTCTGAATCACTCTGATGCTGTCTGAAGACTCTGCAGATGTAAAAGATGATCAATGTATAAACGTCTGTGTGTTTGGAGGTTGTAACTTTCATCTTCTCTCACCTCTCCTCAGGCTCCGTGACGGGTCTGAGTATCTGCTCAACGCCTCCTCTCGATTCCTGATGAAGAAATGGATGATGAAAATACAAGCAAACACAGGTGAGATCAAAAATACACTTTATAAAACCAAGTGATGGAAATCCACCTGTGGCAGCATCTCTGGAGTCGGGAGTAAAAGAGAGACAAAAAAACATGATGACTGAAACTTGATGCACTCTTCACTCCTCTCACCTTCTCCGAGGACGCTGTGGAGCACTTTTCTGTGACTTAGCACCGATTCATTTAAGACGGCGCCAGAGAGCCGAGCAGTTATGACTCCTCATGTTTGGAGACTGTAGTCCTCATGGTCGCAGCCTGGGTTCGAGTCCGACCTCGACCCTTTCTCCTCCCAACAAATTTCTGTCTCTCTCTTTTCAGCTGTCCTTCCAATTAAAGTAAAAGTGACCCAAACAAAAAATATTATTAAACGTATTAAAACAGAACATTAGCACATTAAGAAAAAATAGCTGTTTTAATATTCATAAAACAGCAGCGCAGTTTGGAAAATATATGCAAGGATGCATATAAATACATATAAATATGAATAATATACACTCTACAAACACTTTGCAATAGAAGAACAAACTCTCTTCAAATTCAATGTAGGAGCTGTGCAGTGGACTATGAGAAAAAACCTTACAGTGTATGTAACCTACTCACAAAGTGCATGTAAAGAAAATAAATGTAACTACAAGTGGGGGTTAATGTAAAGCCCACTTGTAGTTCTTGATCTAACACTTCAGCGTGCGGTCTCGTCTGCATCTTGATGCCACACCTGTCAGGTGGACGGGTTATCTCGATAAAGAAGGAAGTGCTCACACAGAAGTGTGAACAAAGACTGAGAGGAAAAGATGTTTCGTGTTTGATTTCAACTAGGATCAAAAACAGAAGTGTTGTTTATAGTTTGTTCAGTGTTTGTCCCTGATGTAATTCTTGTACTAAACTATTGTGTAGACAGTTTAATTCAAAGCTCATGTTGCTACTGAAGTTTAAATATGAAAATGATTTGAATCATGACGTGTTTTTATTTTCTTCAAAGGTCTGAATGAGACTGTGTCGTCGTTATCCAGCGCCCCTGCTGCTCCAGACTTCTCCATGTCCTTGTAAGATATGACGGTTCGACTGTCTCAACATGCTTCCCATCCTGACGTTGATCAAAGTTCAGTGATATTAAAAACAGTTTCCTCTGTTCTTCCAGAAAGCCCTCCCCCTGCTCCGCCTGTCACCGTCTCGCCAAATGCTACTGCCCTCCCAGCATGATGTCACCTCCACGTTCCCCATTCGCAAACCACCGGGCACCGCCCAAACCAAAGAGATCGTTGTCCTCACCCGGGAGTTCAGTCACCGGCAGCAGAGAGGAGTCAGGAGTGTGGGAAGGCGTCCTCTCAGGGAGGCTGCTGTGGTGAGACATGAGCTGAGTGCACAAAAAGCATGTTTACCTTCAGAGAGGTTACTGAACGTTAATGTGCTCAGGAGACGCTACACAAGCTCCGCCCTCTTCTGTTAGCTACTGTATATCCCCTCTGAGGCCGTGTGGTTAGAGGACCCTCTCCTCCGTGGTAGTTATTGATCCAACAGGAGTTTTATTCATTTCATCTCCACGATGACTTCATCAGCCGAGCCAGTTCAGCTCCAGTCCCCCCCCCCCCCGAGGGAGCTGTAGGGTTACAAATTGAATTCAGGATTTTATTTAGCGTTGTAGTGTTTCAACCTGACCTGTAAGTGCTCCAACCACAGAGGAGAACATGAGCTGCTGCTGCAGGGGAACTTTGAACCACTAGGGGGAGCTGTGGTGTTGTTGATCCACATTAACAGTATCAGAGGACTGCAAAGCTGAAATGCATTAACAAATCATTTCGAATCTAAAGACATTTAGAGTCTGCTCTTTTAATGTGTATTTAACATTTTTCAATGATTATTGTATTAAAAATAAATAATACATCTTTAATTAATTCAATGAAGGACACAATAAATAAGAGGTAAGGAGAGTTTTGAAATGGTAACTCGTTAAAGGAACAATCAGTGAGATGTGTAGAGACTGAAATGATCAAGTGACCTTACTATATGATCAGACATTAAGGAAACATGGTATGTTGAAGTGCTGGCTTCTCTGACAACAATGCAGCAGCTAGTATGTCCTCCTTCTAACTTTAGATTCTGGTCCTGAATGCTCTGGATTTGTTTGGACCAGAGAAGGTAGGCGCTTTTAAGGCGACCCCCCCCCCCCCCCCCCCCAACACGGCCGTTTTGGACGCCCCTCGGTTTGCCAGATATGAGAGCAGTTATCAGGTCAAACTGGTTCAGATAGAAGTGATTGTACCCGACCTAAAAAGCCTCTGCATGTTTCTAATAAGCTCCACGAGCAGAAACGTGCTCAAACTAGGATCAATATTGGAGATGCTTTTGAAAAATGGAGAGAGGTTAGAACACAGAAAGGTTTACAGACCGATGCAGAGCTGGATAAACACTGAAGCTTCAGTGTCCACCACATGGTGACCTGTGTGAGCATGGACTCTAGAGAGGAGGGGGCGGGGGGAGACAGCTCTTTACAATGTTTAGAATTTAGACTGCAGTACCCATTTTAAACACTCGGTGTCAGAGTTACTTTAATGTAGAATCTAAACATGATGTGGAAGTATAAAAGAAATGAAGCAGCACATTATTAGTAATATTCTTTAAAATCATCAATTCAAACACCGAGAAGTTAAAGGTCTTCATCTATTGACAAAACATTTTCAAAACACTTAATCCAATCATCAGTTTGATAAAAAATGAAACCTGTTATTGAAGTCCTGCAGTGTTTGTAAATGTCCATAATAACCGCCTGTCTCTCTGTAGATAACGATGATGATGATGAAGGCAGTTTAAAGCAGACGATGACTCACCGTCTGTCTGGATCATCCAGAGAAAACACCTCCGTCTCTCCTTGTTCCCCGGTCTGCAGCGATCAGGACTGGCTCAGCAACAAGCGCCGCTCCCACTCCTTCACATCAGGTGAGCTCACACTTATTAACCTCAATGATGTCATGAGTCTGAGGATTGTAAACAGCAGATTTTTTTTTAACTCTTGATGTTCCGTCTTTGTTTCCTCTCAGCGACTTTTCAGAGGATCAAACCGATGTGGCACGCTCCGGCAGGCCGAGGCCTGGAGAGCGGCTCAAACTACTGTGTGACTCTGGTAGTAGGAGACAAATCCTCAGACGGTTCATCTGTGAGCAGGAACTCAGAGCGCCCCCTGCTGGCCTCAGCCGGCTGGCAGCAGGACACCTGTCAGGACTCTCAGGCTCTGACGAGCTTCACCAGCCTGCCGCGTCCACGCAACAAGTCCGTCTTTAAAAAGTTCTTCGGAAAGAGGGACGTATGAGGTTTAAAAAAAAGAAAAAGGGTTTAACCATTGACGGGTTATAAAGATGGACGACGTGTCTCCACCTCCTGTCGTTGTACAAACATGAGGCCAAAATATCAGAGTGTGCAGAGAGAGAGAGGTGGAGCTGAAGCTCAGACATCCCGCCTCTTCCTCTTACCAAAACACAGTTAACTTCCTGTTAAAAGGTCAAAGGTCACTCAGGTGGGTTCAGTCCAAAGCAGAACAGATCATGGTGTCGGTTTGAAGCAGACAAACAGGGTTATTAAAAGTTTAGTGACTTTTGTGTTCGTTCCCTTCTCTAATCACAGCACAGAAACGCAGGAGCGTCATTGGTCAATGGAGCTGTCAATCATGACGTTATTCCCCTTTTATATCATCAAATAATTATAACTCAGAAATGAACACAGTGTTAGAGAAACATTAATCAGACGTGTTTTAATTTTATGGTTTGACTCGTGTTAAGACAGAGGAGGCGGAGCTTATGACATATACTACACAGCCAGCAGGGGGAGCTCTAAAAGTTTTGGCTTCACTTTTAAGGATCCATTATGTCGTCCATCTTTTTGTACAGTCTGTGGGTTAAACAAATATTTTCTAATGTGCAGTGCACCTGTTTGTTGAAATGCATAAAAAAAAAAAAAAGAATCACTACTACTGACCGTATTTATGATCCGAAGAGCTGCCGCATGCTCCATGTGTGACGTGTGTTTTAATATCACTTCATCGTCCATTAAACCCTCACAGTGTGTCTCTTCTTTTGGCAAGTGTGTGTGTGTGTGTGTGTGTGTGTGAGAGAGAGTATGTTTCTGTGCGTGCATGTGTGTGTGTGAGAGAGAGTATGTGTGTGTGTGTGTGTGTGTGTGTGTGAGAGAGAGAGTATGTTTGTGTGTGTGTGCGTGCACCATGTAGTTGTAGATTTGAATCGCTGAATGGGATGTTTTCTTTCCAGTCTTATTCCCTTATTTCTTTGATTTTATTTTCCTTTGATTGTCGTGTTTCTGTATAAAGTTTTTCTTCCTGCTTAATGAAAAGGAAACTTCCAACCACGTCGTCTTAATTCAGTCGTGACCAAGTCTTTACAGCATCCTTGAATCAGGACCGTCAGTGTGTCTGCTTCCCCGCTGAACGTTGTTCATTCTGCAGTTTGATACTGCTCGGGCTTGTTAAGTATGTTACCAAGATCTTCATATTAAAACCTGTTTAAAGAACCATGAGCTTTGTCTATATATTTATTTTTAGTCTTGGTTCAAACTGTTCCTCAGATGCTTTGAAGAGACAAAAGAGATCAGATGAATGGAGAGAGATTAAAGGCCAGAACATCTTCACATCATTAGCCTCGTTTTTACATATTTAAAAAACGTCCCGATTCAAAGACCGGACTCCAACAAATCCATAATCAACATTACATTAATGCAGGAGAGGCAGACATTTATTATGTCTGCATAATAAATCACATTTAGTCTGTTCTGCTGTTTAGCATTACAAAATATTCAGTGATTCTCGACAAGACCTCCGAGGCTCACATCAGAAACAGCGGGGAAGAAAACGCTGCAAATTTAGAGCTTGGAAGATTTTGGTAAACATGAACAAAAAAAACTAAATTCTCAGAGGAAGATTCAAAGTGAGCTTGTCTACTCTGAACACTGCAAACACTCACTAGTCAGCACCAGAAGTACAGTCAGTTGAACAAATTATTAATATGTTGGCCTTCAATGACGGTCAAGACCACAACCGAGACCAGATTAATCTGATTAAGGGGGTCGTAACCGGGGGATAAAATTCAAATTATGAATGAATTGAAGTGATTTGTTCTTTTAGAAAGAGGCATTCTCCTTCTAATCTCAGTGATGACCTGGAACAATAGTCCGTCAGTGGTGGTCTTGAACGGTCTTGATTTAAAATCCACCAAGTCTGAGACCGAGACAAGATCGAGAACTTCTAAAAGCCGCCTTGAGAGCAAGACCTATTTTGAGAACTACAACACTAGATGTGCTTAAACTGCAGCGCAGCCGTCTGCCACTAGTCAGAGCTGTAACTCCGGTCAATGGATCTGCTCTCCTGATCTACTACCCGGATGTAAACCAGCACCGTGAACAGATCAGTGATCAGCCGAGTGGTTTGTCAGTGTTTAGATCTATAAAAAGAGGTTGTATGTCGGCTGTGTGAGCTTGAACCAGAGTATCGACCTGAGCAGCGTGTAACCACATTTAACAAAGGTATGTTAACCAGCAGGGAGGAATAACAGCTAGCGAGGTGCTAGCAATGCTAACATTAGCCACACTTGGCAAACCAAATGACCCACGGACCATTTAAATTAAAGGTCTCATATTATGTGAAATACACTTTACCATGTTTCTTTAACACCAATATCCAGCCACTCTGTCTTTTGACGTTATGTTAAAGAGGTGAGGCCTGGTTAGTCCTGGCCTGGTCCAACGGGGCCTAGTGTGAGTGCGCCCTGAGCGTTTTCTTGACCAACTCTGATCAGTCCAGTTTAGCGTGTTTGTCCTAAATTTAAAGATAAAAACGTTTCAAAGAAATCCTGTACATGAGACAGGACATACAGCAAACGCAGACAAACCAACACAGATGCATTAGAAGTGTTGAGTTTTGGCACAACCTCTGCTCCACCATCAGTCTATAAAGCCGTGCTGAATTTCACAGCGTGCTCTTTGCAGGCAAATAAACACAAATCCAGCCGCTCCAGTGGTGTGTGGAGCAGAAACAGCTCGGGAAAGTTTTGTGTTTGTGGTGAAAATTTGTCAAAAGCATCGAGCAGAGGCATTCATCATGCCGGTCGGAAATCTGTGAATCATTACAGAGCTCAATATGACTCAACCATCTTACTGTAAAACACACTTCATATGTTCAGTTAATACAGAACAGACACATAAAGGTCATGGGCGTCTGCAGCTGCATTGATCTTCATGCTAATAATCCACAGCTTCTTACCAATTATGTAATTTGTAAAATCATAAAGTTGCACACATGGGTCATTTCTAGTATTTCTTCTTCGCTCCAGAGTCGAGACATTTTTGTGTTTTTCTCTCCGTCAAGTTTGAACTGACAGCTACATCCTCTGCAGCCCCGAGGGACGCACAACCAGCCGATCGACTGATCACCCTGACCTCCATCTTTGTGTCCTCTGACCTCCATATGATCTGCTGAAGTCTCCGTCACAGGGGGGTGGGGAGTGAGATAGGTGACAGAGAAACACTCCCTCTCTTCTTGTGTGTCTCCACACTCTAAAAGCTTCCTCTCTGTTTGTGGGATTATACGATTCTTGCACCACTAAACACAGCGCCCACGCTCCTCTCCGCTCGCCGGTAGTTGCATTTCCTCCGGTCTGACCGCTAATCACAGCCCACATGACATTTCCTCCCACAGGTGAGGAGAAGTCCAGCTTTTGTTTCACAGAGTGACTCACTGGAGTTACCACAGTCGATCAGAGAGATCCGGAGATCACAGAGAAGCACAGAGGAGGAGGAGGAGGTGTAACAGGAGAGGGATGTCCTCAGGCCGCCTCCCCCCCCCCGCCCCCCCCTGCTGTGGAGGGAGAATGGTCTCTGTCCCTCTGGGAGGATGCATGACTCCTCATCCATCACACATTCTTACAGGGAGTATACAGTATGCTGTGCTTGTTGCATGCTAACCGGCACCTTTTTACATCCAAACAAAGAACAATGAAAACCATGTTTGCACCATGTAGAGTCTTGGATGTCATGTTGGATTTTCATGTGAGTTTTGATCCCCAAATTCCAAAAGTTTAAAAGACTATTGGAATCTTGCAAGTCGCCTCAGGATCTTCGTCTGCACCTTGCCAACTTTCTTTGAACTGGCCCGTCCATCTCTTCTTTTCCGTTCACAGTTTATAAGACCAGACGTCGATGATGTCACGCTAACAAACAAATCCAAAAAAGGAAAAAAATTCAACAAAGGAAATTAAGCAAACGCAGCTACATCCGCTCAATCACTTTATAAAATAAAAGTCTGTGTGATCTCAGGGATCAGATGAACTGATACGGCGTGCTTCACAGATAACATGATGGACTTTTAGGATACACAACTCTGAAGCATTCCGGCCGGCTACGTGGTGACTCGAGTGACAATCCAGTTTCTCATCATGCCGAGGAGGAGAGGGAGCTGCTGGTTTGTTTCCAGAATTAGAAATCTTGGTATCAGGATTTCCTGAAAGGTCAGCGGAGGATTTGAACGGAGAAATTGACTTCAGGAATCAGAGCCCTTTTTCATTAGAAGTATTTAAATGAATTCATGAAATCATGTGAAAGCTACCCTTTTTTTATTTTCTGAACTTTGACCTCAGGCTCAAAGGTGGGCCTGCAGAGGAGGGGGGGGGGCATTATCTGCTTTGAAACCAAACACTGCGGCCTCCAGGAGCCACAGGGCGATCATGAAGGTGATGTAATGGGAGGACTGGTTTTAGGAATCATCCGTGGTGGTGGGCAGCAGTGGTTAGGAGGACAGATCAAATGTCCTGATTGTCATCGCTTTTTTGTTTCCCCTCTCAATTTATCCGTCCATCTGTAAACGTGACATCACGACGCTAAGAAGCTTTAGCTCCACTTGTGTCAACAAACCCGAGCGGCCATCTTGGGAAATAAACAGCATCTGAAGGGCCGCCCGGAGCTCGATCTCCCAGAAGCTCTTTGAACAACAACATGTCACATTTTCATCAGCTGTGTTTGCCGTTTAGGCCGGAGGCTGCGCGGACAATATATCATCATACCGCTGTCGTCGAGCCTCCTGGGCTGCAACCACAAAGTGCAATAACTGGAGAGAAATGTCCTCATCTGAAACACCAGCTCCCCCACATCCACCCCCCCCCCCCCGCCCTCCCTCCTGTGGGCTCTCCCTCTTTTGTCCTGGATTGCTGGTAAGCTCCTTGCATTTCTGCGTCTCCATGAGAGGAGGGATAAAGGGAGCGGGGAGCCTCTGAGACATCTGTCCTGCAGATATGAGCCCAATGCGTCTCTGTGATATGGATATTAATTCACTTCATATGCATTCAGCCTCTTCTGTACGAGCCGTCACGCAACCCACCCCCTCCCTCATCAATACATCAACACCCCCCCCCCCCCCGCCCCCCCTCCCTGACAGTGTGTCTAATTGCTACAGTTACACAATGTTTATGTATGAACAGACCCAGAGTGTTTACATTTTAAAGAGCTGCCATGTCTGGACGATGCCATAGAATATTATAATGTCATGTTAATGATATCTGGAGAAATAATCCTCTTTATGGAATTCTTTGCTGCTGTATAAACGAAGAGATGATGATTCTGCGTGTCGGTGATGTTCTCCACACACACACACACACACACACACACACACACAACAACACACACACACACAGTCTGTCCCGGTGCAGACCAAGTCTTGAAATCGGTCTGGTAGCTGGAGAGGTGCCCTGGAGCAAGGCATTGAACCCTCACCAGCTCACTGTGGGCAGACCACAGACTGTAAATATGAATGTTTGAAGCCTGAGTGACATCACCTATCTGTTCCTGCAGGGGGCGCTGGAGTCCCATCGATGGCGGTCTCCATGCTGGAAATGCTGTCTCAGTCTAACTTTCAGTCAACCTAACGACAGGCTGAGAGCTGGAGCTGAGGCGGGTTTTAAGACTCCTGACAAACTGTTACACCACGCCCACCTGTCAATCAGGTCAGCTACACGCCTTATTGTGAATAACTCTTATCCTTCATCAAATCAAAACGCATGACTCACCCCCAGGAACCGCCACCGGACTGTGTCGTCCCCATAACCACCGCCATCTTCATTCATGCACGGCCTGCTCCGACCTTCACCTCCGCAGCAAGTCAGTGTGGAGAACAGGAACGAGAGGAATACAAAGGAGAAATCCTTCCTGCAGATCATTTTTCTTTTGTAGCATAACAATGAGTAAGGTCTTTACCTTCTTTTTGTAAAGTGATTGATTGATTGAAAGATTGATTGATTGATCTGCATCCTCTGGTCGTCTCATCATAGACGTACATTTTCATATGAAACGATATTAAAGAAAATAAAACAATGATTGATTCCTAGAGTTCTCCGTTCTTCACAGCTACCCTATAACCCCAGCTCACATCGTTGCTGCGACTAAATGTCACAATATGGCTGCTAATTACATCATCACACATGAGATGCATCCTCACACACCTTCTATGTGGTAAACCTGGCAGGTCTGTGTCACTGTTACATAACCCATCTGTTCTCCTGCTGCAGGGCGCCCAGGCTCACCGTCCACAGAGAGCGCAGCACCGCGCGGCTCGTCCAACCATCACACTGCGCTACCCTGGAGTCTGCAACAACAACGCACACTCATATTTCCATGTTGGTGTAAAAATAAAAACCAACCCAGAGTCGATTCAGAGGCTGCTTCAGGGCCTGCAGTTGCGGCGTGATGCAGAGGTCCGTCAGCGTGGCCACAGAAACAGATGCTGTCTCAGCAGCACGTCTGACGCAGATCACAGCTGGCAGCTCGCTCTGCAGCCAAACTGACAGCTTACATCGGATACATGAGCCGAACGCACGCCAAGAAAACACTTCCCTGTATTTTCACTTTGAAGTGACCTGAAGAAGAAGCGCTGGTGCTGAAACAAAAATCCAGAGCCAGAGAGAGCTTCTATTAAAAACTTCACTGACGCCGCTGCCAGACTCACGCAGAGTTTAAACCAAACTGTCCGCAAACTCATGAACCTTCAATGATCCCGAACTTCTTCAGTCTAAAATCAGACTCAAACTTTTCCTGTTTATTTATAGAGAGCTTCACAAAGAAGGGTCGGGACAAAATATCGATATCGCAGCGTACTGTCTGCCTGACTGTGTAGGTAATGAGAATGTTTCATGATGTTTTCACCAGTTTAATCCTCTCTACTCTTCTGTTGAGATGGTGAATGTGTCAAACTACATGTAGCACAAAAACGTTCTGTTACAGCGCCAAACTCTGTTACTTCATACCGACATTTCTGCGTCATCCTCTTAGGTCACGTCTTGCCTCATGACGTCCTCCTGTGAGGTTCAGGTGTGAACGAGCAACTCTGGAAGATTTTAGGGGCAGTCTGTTTAAATTGTCAGGAGTGCATGTGTGACAGCATCCTAAAGTAGGACAGGACTGTACCTCAAGTCCTGCCTTCTGAGCCTCCCTCTCCCGTCTCAACTTTCTACAAATTGTCAGGAGTGTCTGTGTGAAAACAGGTAAAGACCGCTGAATAAAGAGGGATTTATACTGATTTATTCATATGTTGAATCTATCCCACAGTGGCCTATGCTGACCTGAGAACATCATCTTGGTATCGTATTGGTGTGTCTGTCTACAGAGAGAAGACTGAGTAAAAATGCTTTCGGTTCCAAGGCCTTCAAAAAGTGGTCTCAAGACCGATTTCCAGGACTACTACACGAACACCCAGATCAGGATTTTAGAAATGTAGGATCTAAAAGAGACTTTAAAGAGATCTCAGACTGAATAAACATAAATATACTAAGAATATAAAGTTGTTTAATAAAACATGACATCACATTAGGCAGAAGAGCACAGACATATCAGATTTAATCTGCAGTTCCTGTCTCCTCCTAAAGTGCTTAAACACGTTGAACTCTTTTGAGCCTCATAGCTGCACTCTGTCGTCCTCAAATTTAATCCTATATTCAGTGATTCTATTTACCCTTTAATGTAAAGTGACTGCACATGGACAGAAATCCCCTCGTGGTTTTTGCACACTTTGACAGTCGGTATGAAAACGTTTAAAAACCGCTGAACAGAAGAACCCGTTCCTTCTTTAAATGCATTAAAATGAAAACACGGGAAGAACCATCTCACCGCTCAGGGACAATAACTGTTTATTTTTTCCATTTTCTTGTTCACACTAGATATGAATTAACCATGAATGGATTGGACATCGTTGCACGGTTAAATATTGATCGATCTCCACGAGCTCATCGTCAGGTCGAGTGGACGAACACGAGAGCGCAGAAAACTGGAAGGCCGAGAGAGAGAGAGCACGACGTGTTCCTGTGCAGAACGAACAGTATAACCGGATAAAAGAGAAATATCTGCTGTGAGACCAACAGGAAATAAAAATAAATCTGATCTGCTTTGCATGCGAGCCGCCGTGTTGGAGCGTGCAAGCGCAGGTTATTTACACACTAACTGAACTATTCCCTCGCTGCCTTCCATCTCACAATCAATTATTCAGCATGTAATCCATTTTGAGGCTGTACGAGAAAGAAAGAAATGAATATTGTACATTAATACATGCATGTGACACACAAACACACCCCCCCCCCCCCACCCCCCCCCACCCCCGCAGCTCTGCGTGCCCCTCAGGTTAGGTCACAACCCGGCTATGAAGCGTGTGTGGCTCCACTCAACGCTGCGCCCGAATACTCACTGACACAAATAAAACTTCTAGTCAGCATAAAAAAAACCCCTAACAGGCTGCAGAGTCTGTCCTCTAAGTGGCTCTGAATCCTCACATTAGCTTGTTTGTTTGAGACAGAGCTCCAGCGCGGCGATGACGTCTTGTAGGAGAGAGTTCCTGTTTTCCTTTGACACCTGAGAGGAAAAAGAGACGGAACAAAAACATTCAAAATAGTGTTTAGAATAAGGCCCTATGTTCCCTCAACACTATGTTCCCTCAGCCCTATGTTCCCTCAACACTATGTTCCCTCAGCCCTATGTTCCCTCAGCCCTATGTTCCCTCAATACTATGTTCCCTCTGCCCTATGTTCCCTCAACACTATGTTCCCTCAATACTATGTTCCCTCAGCCCTATGTTCCCTCTGCCCTATGTTCCCTCAACACTATGTTCCCTCAACACTATGTTCCCTCAGCCCTATGTTCCCTCAGCCCTATGTTCCCTCAATACTATGTTCCCTCTGCCCTATGTTCCCTCAACACTATGTTCCCTCTGCCCTATGTTCCCTCTGCCCTATGTTCCCTCAACACTATGTTCCCTCAACACTATGTTCCCTCAACACTATGTTCCCTCAACACTATGTTCCCTCTGCCCTATGTTCCCTCAACACTATGTTCCCTCTGCCCTATGTTCCCTCAACACTATGTTCCCTCAACACTATGTTCCCTCTGCCCTATGTTCCCTCAACACTATGTTCCCTCAACACTATGTTCCCTCTGCCCTATGTTCCCTCAACACTATGTTCCCTCAACACTATGTTCCCTCAACACTATGTTCCCTCAACACTATGTTCCCTCTGCCCTATGTTCCCTCAACACTATGTTCCCTCAACACTATGTTCCCTCTGCCCTATGTTCCCTCAACACTATGTTCCCCCTGCCCTATGTTCCCTCAACACAATGTTCCCTCAACACTATGTTCCCTCAACACTATGTTCCCTCAACACTGTGTTCCCTCTGCCCTATGTTCCCTCAACACTATTTTCCCTCAGCACTATGTTCCCTCAGCACTATGTTGTATACATTTGGAAAAGAGCGTCGGTGACGTCAACAGCAGCACTCTGAAAATTTGAAAGATTTTCAACTCAAAGCACTCGGAGCGGCCGCACAAGAAAGCAAAGACTCTGACAAAAAGACGCTGGTTGCTGTTCTGTTTGTCCGGGCGGTTGCCTGCTGCTGTTAACGCTCTCTCCATGTTTAAAACAATTTTTAAAAAAACACTAGGGACACAGGGCAGGGCCCCAAATATTTCAAATTTTTGTATGTATACATTTTAGACAGTGTGCCTAGGACTTCTATTTTTGTTGCCATGGTAACCAAACAGTCATCGGTATCTGGTATTGTGACAACCCCAGTGTAGACAGCTTGCAGCATTAAATTAGCCGTACTGCCTCAGATCACTAACATAAGAACACCCTGACCAGCAGGATGTAAGCTCCCCAGTGTCCTCTCTCAGATTATCAACCCGCACCGTGTAAACGCCTCATCTCTGACCGAGCGTCTGACGAGGGAAAGTTTGATGTCCATTCTCTGTGACTTTGTTTATCATGATAACCAGCCCAGTGAGAGAGTGTTTTGTATGACAATCTCCATAACTGAGTCTTCCGTGAGAAATTATTTTGACATGTGAGCGCAGCCTTTGTTGTTGAATCAGTCACGCATGATTTACAGTTAATCCTGCTTGAGCAGAGGGATAATGCAGGCCACGGCCTCTGCACACTGACGGCCCTCATAAGACCCAGAGGTTACAGTAAACACTGTCCTACAGTCATTGTTGGACTTAAACTGACCTAAATACCTAAATACCCCCCCCCCCATTACAGAGAGAGACTATGTTTATTTACACTCACAGTGAAGACCTTCACATCCCTCCTGCCCCGCACCTCCTCCACCAGGCCCAGAGGTTTCCCCTTTGGGACGGGGATGGTTCCCAGGATGGTGCAGGAGGAGCTGTCTAAAGTCTGCCTCACCGCTCTGATGAACGACTGACTGAAGAGCTCCATTTTACCGATCTCATCGATGACAAACACCTTCCTGCTGCCCTCATCTGCTGCTGAACCCACCTGCAGAAGACAGATATTAGCAGCTAGGACACAAGCAGAGCCGGGCTGAGAAGTGAAAGAGGAGAATCTGGATGATAGTGGAAGCTAGCAAACCCAAAGCTCCTCTGAGGAGTTTTTATCTGGTTATGAAACGGTCTGAAATTTGGAAAAAGCAAACAAACCATCAGGACGAGATCAATCGTTTCTATTTCCTTATTTTGCATGTCTGTAACCACCGCAACGGGGTCAGAGCAGATGAAGAGATTCACAGCAGAAAGCCTTTTTTTTTTACAGTGATTCACGTCAGTGAGTTTGACTGTTAAAGGAAAGCAGGAGAAAACATAACTGCTGCATGTTCAGGACAAAGTCAGCAAAGAGATGAGATGAACCACTTTGTCCACAGGGGGCTCCAAAACTGTGGGGTTTTTTAAAAGTAAAGACAATAAAAATAAATAATAAAAATTTAAAAAAAGTAGTTTCATGTTTAAAATCAGGGTTTCTCTGACGTCATAAACAGACACAAGGCATCAAGAGGAACAATCTCATTCTTTCGGTCACTACTCAAAGGTCATGACCACAGATGAGGTCAGCATTACTGCGGACACTGAGCCAATCCATCTGTCAGTCTCACCCTCCATCTTGCCCTGACTGAGAACATAGACCTCAGATACTTAAAGTCTTTAACTCGCTCCCCACCCGGAGGAGGCAATCCACCGTTTTCCAGCTGAGAGGCCTCAGACTTTTAGGTTTAATTTAGAAATAAAAAGTCGAAACAGTAACTGATGAAAAGATCAAACAGGTTTCATTGGTGGAGATGGGGATCATCCAACAGGTGGGAACAGTTCCTCATGATATCATCTTGTGTTTATCAACTGACTGCCTGTTTGCATTTTACACACGTGTGCTGATGTGCAGTGATTACAGAGACCCTTCAGCTGAGATCAAAGTGGACTCCAACACACACACACACACTTTGGCTTACAGCGTGTGTGTGTGTGTGTGTGTAGGCGTCACTCCAGGCTCACTTTACATGCCGGATTAATCACGGTCAGTGACAGCCAGACGGCACCACCGACACTAAAAATGTCACCCTGGTATTTATGTGTGTTCTAGTCTCCAATTATTCCATCAATTCAAAGAAAATCAAAGGTGCGATGGTTTGTAAAGTGGAGACAAACGGGGGAGCGTGCATGCTGGCTGTGATCTATTGATGAAGGAGAGTTTAAAAAAGGGAGCGTGATGCTTCTTACATTTCTGAAGAGGGGGAGAGCCATGTTTTCAAATGAAGACAAGTCGACCACGTACTGTCCGACCGTGTATTCCCGTCTGCCATGAGATGGAGCGGAAGCGTCTCTGCAAGTTAAAAGAAGAAGAGTGTTCGTGCAGGATTCAAAGGGAGCCGGGTATCTGTGTTTGGAGAGGACGACGTGTCTGCTAACCTGATTCTGGACAGCCGGCCCCTCTCTCCTCTCACTGTGACCACATCAAAGCCGACTCTGCGGCCCCCCTCTCTGACCTCCTCCGTGTAAAAACCTTCAACTCCCACTCCGGAGGACGCCAGAGCTTCACAGGCTTTCTGGACCAGCGTGGTTTTCCCCACACCTGAACGCAGAACAAGAGACGACACAAAACACGCTTTATTATCAAGGCTGCAGCATGTGAGGACAGGTTCATCCGTACATTAGTGAGCTGTGCATCCCTGAAACTATGATCTCAGTCAACTGAATGTATCAAAAATTAAGCCTGTTTTCATGATTCCATTTTTCATCCTCTGCACGGAAAGCTTCAGTCATTTAGAGCTGAACTAAGAGAAATAATGGAAAAATAAAGACACGTCTGCTAAAATGTGTTAGTCTCTGCTTTATTTACAGGACTGTGTTTCAATAAAATGAACATGTTTCTGTTTTATTTGACTCCATGTTTGTTTTTCTCATCTCTTCCTCAGTGAGAATATGAGTTTGTTTAATTACAAGATATTGAGTTCAACAGTCTACAGTTATCCACACTCAATGGCAGCAGTATAGAAATATCTCGGCGTTTGGCTGGTTGAAACATTTACATTTAAGCATCACATGGAAAGCTCACTGCACAGAATCAGATCTAACTTCTCTCTCCATAAGTGCAGGATAAGTATTGTTAAGCAGTCTTTATGTCAGTCCTCCATTATGACGATATAATCTGTCGACATGCCTCTGCTTCCACTCTTAAAACATGAGACTCAGTGTATCACTCTGCTCTTAGATTCATAACCAGAGAAACCCTCATCATTGTACACCATCCTATATAAGATCTCTGCTCAACTGGAGCACAGGACCTGACCACACTCGCTCTACAGACCGTCCTGCAGGTTTTCTCTGAACCTGGAAATCTGCATTCAGCTTTTTCACTCCAAAAATGTGAAACAACACACTCTCAAGATGGACTCTTGTTTCTCTTGGAGAAATTAAGATTATAATTATCTCAAAGCACTTTACCACGGTGTGTGATTGTTTTTTTTATGAGAATCATCCTGTCTTTGTTGTTTCATTTGATCTCTTTATTTATATCTCACCATCTTTGTAAAAGGTTTGGAGAAATGTTGTTTACAATAAATAAATAAAAAAGGACAAATAGCAGAACCTGAGAAGATATTTTTCTGTGGGTCTCTTATTTATTTCCATGAGCTGTATGTAACACAATACTTAAAACATTACGCATTATATGAAGGTGACGTTTCCCTATGCAGGGAGTAAAAGATTCATCTTCACCTGATTCCTAAATACTGTGATATAAAACGACCTGTGTGTGACTGTGGGTTAAACAGCTGACTGACAGCTTCGGATTCAAAGACACTTTCATCTCAAACACCTCTGAACACGGTGTGTGTGAAAAGTTACCTGGAGGTCCTGTGAGAAAAACGTGTTTGGACATCTCAGTGTTCACCTCCGTTCATGCTGCGGCAGCACTTCCGTACACACTGAGACTGCGCATGCGTGGTAGTCACAACACTTCAGAACTTTACAAAAAACGAACTACATTTTTTATCTTATTTATCGAGATTTAAGTTTAATTAAGCATTTAATTAATTATCAGAAATACGTTAAACACTATAATAAATATTTTTTTATAATTATTTACGTAAAGATAGTAAACTTTAACGTTAAAAGGAATAACACAAGCGTGAAGAAATGATTTAAAGTCGTACGTATCAAGAGTTTATGTTCACATCATGCAATATTTGTAATATCAGCCTTACCTCTATAATCATTAATATATATTGAAGTGAATCTTAGAGCTGCTGTTATTATCATACTTAGCTGTTACACTTTAACCATCATCACTGACACTGTAGCTTTTTCATTGTTGTTGTTGCTCTGTTTGTCTCCTTCCTGCTTCTCAGAGCCCGGCACAGTTTCAGCAGATGTCTGTTCATCATGAGTCTGGATCTGCTCGAGCTTTCTGCCTCTTAAAGGAAGTTTTTCCTCCTAGCTCTTTGCTAAATGTTGCTCAGTGCTCATGATGGATCAATGTTTGGTCTTTGTAAATAATATAACAATGAGTAAGCTCGTTCACCTGCTATTTTGTTAAGTGTCTTGAAATAACATTTGTTATGAATTGGCACTATACAAATAAAGATTGATTGACTGAGGTTAATGCGTAACTTGTGCTCAGAGTGTACGAGTAGTTTTAAAGGTCACATATCTTCCTCCTCTTCAGTCAGTGTAAATAAGTCTCAGAGCTCCTCAAAACATGTGTGTGAAGTTTCTTGTTCTAAATCCACTATGATCCTGTATTTGATCATGCCTATAAACCCCTCTATTTCAGCCCTGCTCAGAACAGGCTGTTTCTGTGTCTGTACCTTTAAATATGTAAATGAGCTGTGTCTGACCACGCCCCCTCTCTGGAAGGGCTTGAGTGTCTCGGGCTTTCTCGCTCCATGTCCTATTGTTTACGGTGAGAAGGCAGACTCAGAGGGCAGAACAAACACCTAGCTGTGGGAGTGTCACCCACCTGGGGGAGGGGTTACGCCCTTTGTGATGTCATGAAGGGAAAATCTCCAAACGGCCTGCTTGAGCACACATTTTCTGAAGACGGATAGGATGGACTTTTCTCATCATTGGGGGGTTTGTAGACAGACTAGAGACATATTAGAGTTAAAGGAACATGGGGAAGTGTATGTGACCTTTAAAAACCAGAGCAGAGGAGGAAGCTGCATTTTGCCTTTTGTATATTTCAACATTATGCATAAAGCTTACAGTATAACATCTTCCACTTTGTCTTGAAGCTGTCATGCAGTTAAATAATGTCCTCTGATATGTAGTGGCGAATCATTTTACAGAAACATATAAAAAGGTGAAGCTTGTGTATGTTCCTGTTATTTATGCACACAGTTTGGATTGTTGTTCCTCTTAAACCCACATTAATTGCCAAACTAATCCTCACAACAGTGTCATGCAACATGTCCCACTCTCTCTGATTTGCTTATAAAACTATCAACGTTAAAATGCAAAGCAGCAGGTCGAGTTTAAAGGAAACACTGTGACACTAGGCCCCGCCCTCAGAGCTCTGGGAGACCTTTAGCTCATGGAAACTGGAGACTAAAGCTTTTTACTGATTCAATGATTTGAATGAATAATGTGCACTCATGGTGAACTTCCAGCAGCGTGGTGTTAACTGACTGAAGAGGTAAATCTGTTTGGACAGTTTGCTATTCCAACGGATTTCTTGCTCAAAACAAAAACGTCAGGACAAATTCCTCGTACGCTGTGAAGTGTTCATTAACTTGGCCTGAAAGCAGATTCTGATTCATCCTCTTACTGTAAGTGTTCCTAAAAGACTCCCAGTGATGCAATCACTGCACTCACTGTTGTCTCTTTAACTGAGTGAGTAAGAAAAAGATTTACCTCTACAAAAAGCTCATTATTTCAACCGGTTGATCGATTTAGAAGAAGATATCCTTTATTGATCCCATGACTTTTACACTCTGTTGTTGAAGATGCTACACACATTCTTGTTATTAATCCCTGAGTGGAAATTCTGGTTCACACTCCGTTATATATAGACATGATTCTCACACACATAGGCCTGACATACATACACCTCCTTCCTGTTCAGGGTCCAGGCAGTGGTGATCTCGTGCACCCTGGACTTGCAGGCAACCTCCTGCACACTGTCTAAATTTCACAAATACATCGGCAACATTTAGATACTGAAATGTTGCCAACATATTTGAACAATTAGGACAGCGTGCAGGAGGTTTTGTGCATTTTTTTTTGATGGATTCGTTCCCCTCCAATGCACCGGTCTGATTAAATAGATGATTGTTTGTTTTGAAAGCTTCAGTAATTTTTGATACCATCATTTATAAGAACAATGGGGGATGAATCGTTCTGAAACATGTGGAGTATCAACATTTCTGAAAACCTAAATTGTGAAACAGTTTTTCCCTCACATGGTGTAACCGGGGAGTTTGTTGGCCACCAGCTCAGAGATGTGCTGATACTCCTTCCCGAAGTCCAGGGTCCCGAGCTCATCCTCCACCTCCTCAGCCTCTTGCGGGTCACAGGAGGAAACTGATTCTGCCGAAAATCGTCCTCGAGCTGCTCTGCTGTTCCTGGTCGACTCCCTCCTTTGACCTCTCCATGATATTAAACTGTCAGCGCCAGAGCTCCTCCCCCCTCCGCTGCTGTCCGTCATCTGTTTTCTGGAGAGGATCGTCTGTAAGGACACCGACGTGTCTCCATCAGCGTCATCATCATCAGAGGAGGAGAAGCTGATGGCCGAGGCGTGGGTTCGGGGTCGGATGATGTGCGTCCCCCTGAGAGCGCGCTGTGGAGGAGAGCTGGGGGCTTTGACCGGCACGGGGAGGGCCGCTCGCCTGTAGAGACCCTCAGAGCCAGAGTCAGAAATGGGGAGGACGGGGGACTTTGGCGTTCTGGATCTGGAGGGCTCGGGGCTGCTCAGGGGGTGAGGAGAGAAAGCATCGCTCGGCTCGAGGCTGTTAAAGTCGTCAGCGTACTCTTCGTCGTTTCCTTCCCCTGAAAATGAAGATTTAGAGCTGCTGTGTCGGCGGCTTCCTGAACATGCAGAGTTCCCTCTGAGTGTGTCAGAGTGTGACTGATGTGATTCACTGTGATGCTCGCTCTCGTCTTCCTTTGGGGGGGAAATGTCACCCTCCACACTGGGGATGTGAACTAACCTGGAGTCCTTTTCAGGAAGGGAAGCTTTTTCTGAATTTCTTGGAGAGTGTGCGTCTCGTTTCCTCTGCACCCTCTCATGCCGGCCTTTCTCTTTCATTGTGATGGTCTGTTGACGTGAAGAATCCTCCGGGAGGTTCTGAATCATTGTCTCTATATTTTCATTCAGACCGGAGCTCGGCTTTGACTCAGATTTCCTCGACTTTGTCTTTCTCTTTTCCTTAGACGTAGGCGACTGTGTTTTATTCTGTATTAATCCCACACATTCCCGGGTTTTCACCCTCGAAGGCGATATCTGCTTCAGCCGCAGATTAAACGTTTTAGTCGTGCCGAACACAAGCTTCTTCCTCGGAGACGTGCTGTAACTTTTACTCTCCTCTTGTTTGTCTTTCCCTCTTAGAGATGCACGTCCGTCTAAAGGTGTCGAGCAGTTTCTGGGGGAATGTAGAAGCTTTGAATTTGGACTGATCCCCTGCCTGGTTTCCTGAAATGATTGTGTGTTCCTGTGCAAGGCTCTGTAGACGCAGGTCTGTAAATCCAGGACAGATTAGGGTGAATAGAGAGGGGCTGCTGAGGACTCGGTCCGTTCAGCTGCGACAGCTCGACTAGAAGAGCGTTCAACAGAGGCAACTGCTGTATCGCTTCCCCGAGGACGTTAGGAGTCACACCACTGTCCTTTGTTCTCTGGCGTCTTTGCATCTTGTTTTCCTCTCTGGGCCACCGTAGGAGAACTTTCACCTTCGCTCTTATTTTCGTCCTCGGTGTCTTCAAATGTAAAACTCTGTGAGTTTGGATCCAGAAAGGTGCAATCGCCTCCTTCCTTTTTGCTTCTTTCCTCGGCAGTATTGCAGTAGAAGAGATGCGGTGGACAAAATAAGGTTAAGTCTTCTTCAAAATTGTTTTCTTTAACTGTCCGGGGAGTTTGGCTTCCTCCATTTTCTCCAGTATGCTTGTCACACACACTTTTGTCCTGTTTATCCTCATTTTGCAAGAGTTTGTCCTTATCTGATGCTTCGTTGTTTCTGCTCAAATGGTCCTCGTCCTCGTCAGGTGATGACGCATGCTCAGAGTCGAGAGGCAACGACTCTGCAGGTTTATTCTCCGCGTTGCTGTGTTGCTCTTCTTCTCTTCTGCGTGCAATGTTGCTTTTAATCCCCCTCCTCTGAGCTGCATTCGGCAGCAAACTACCACCGAGACTTTGCAGTTTGTAACTCAGAGAAACGGATCCAATCTTCTCCCCTCTGAGGTTGCAAACACCAACGAGCCCCCGCTCGCCATGAGACGAGGGGGCAGAGACCCCGTGTTGGGTCACGTCCTGTCTGACCCTCCTCATCACTTTATTCAGGGAGATGAGAGAGGTCCCGACTAGTTTGGGGATCTCCTCCTTCACGTCCAGCACCATGGCGTACAGAGGAGTGCTGGCCAGGTGTGTGTGCAGAGAGCTCAGGTTCATTTTGAAGAAACAACACTTCCCTCTGTTGAAGCGATGAGCTCCTTCTTCCCGTCGAGGTTTCCCTCCTCTCATCTGTTCAGGCTGATAAATAAGCAGCGTCGGGAAATCCAGCAGTCTGACTCCAACAGCCAGCTCGTCGGACACTTCACTCACTTTGTCGAGTCGGATATTTTCCACCAGAAGCTCAAATGAAAACAGAGTCTCTGAATGATCGATGTTTTGTAGTCTTGACATCATGAAAAGTCTTTTAAAGCGTCAAAGAAAAACTACAACAAACCTACTAGCGGTTAGCTAATCCTCATATTCGAACGTGTGGCTTCTCTCGGCTCCATGGAAACAAACATGAGTCGCGGATCTTTGATGTCATAGAACGCGCGCGGATAGCTGGGATATGTAGTTCGGAGTGTTGCTTACAAACATCCTTGTTTAAAAAGCCATTAAATGACATAAATAAAGACTTTTCTGTCTCGTTTTTTTAAATTCACAAATGGTGAAACAATCGCTCTTCTTCGTGCAGGTAAATGTGGAGGTTTGTTTCTGAATTAGTGTCAGCTAAAGACAAAAAGACCAAATAAATCAATGAATTTTAATGCTTCAACTTTGCATCTTATGGGATTAACACCCCAAAATATGTATTTGCACATCAACACCTCGAGTTATGTTGATTTGTTGTAGGCTATATATTTCTGTATTTAAATGTTAGATTTATAGCATATCTCTCTCTCTCTCTCTCTCTATCGCTCCCTCTCTCTCTCTCTCCCTCTCTCTCTCTCTCTCCCTCCTCTCTCTCTTCTCTCTCTCTCTCTCCCTCCTCTCTCTCTCTCTCTCTCTCTCTCTCTGTCTCTCTCTCTATCGCTCCCTCTCTCTCTCTCTCCCTCTCTCTCTCTCTCTCTATCGCTCCCTCTCTCTCTCTCCCTCTCTCTCTCTCTCTCTATCGCTCCCTCTCTCTCTCTCCCTCTCTCTCTCTCTCTCCCTCCTCTCTCTCTCTCTCTCTCTCTCTCCCTCCTCTCTCTCTCTCTCTCTCTCTCTCTCTCTCTCTCTCTCTCCCTCTCTCTCTCTCTCTCTCCCTCTCTCTCTCTCTCTCTCTCTCTCTCTCCCTCTCTCTCTCCCTCTCTCTCTCTCTCTCTCTCTCATCCTCGCTCCATCATGTTTGTGTTGTAGTTTACTTTGTTAGTTTAGTTCACACCATAACACACGATGCCCACACCACACACTCCAACACACTGATTCACAGACAAACACACCACCCTCCCTCTCTTTGTAAACAGCTGTTATGTTTGGTATCTTTTGTAATAAATTTTTGCACCGTTTAGTCAAACCTATGTTTCCTCTGTTTTTTATCAGGCCTCAAGAGCCGGGTCATGACACACTCAAAATAATCTTGATTATGATTTTTGCCATGACTGAGCAGCTCTAATTTCAATGTGAGATGAAATCATGTTCCTCCAGGACATTGATACTACATGAGAGACATTTGAGAATTAAGAGGTAGAAGTATGAGATTAAATTCAGTGAGAAGATGGCGGATTAAAACAGTTAAAGTGGCAAATAAGTAGTTAAAGTGACATTTAAAGCGGCAGAGGAAGTTTAAAGACAATCCAGAATCAATTTCAGATGTAGGCCTATGTAAGTAATTTAACTGTGATCTAATGAAGCTGCAGCTACAGAATGATATCTGACAGGGAACTACAAGAAAGCGAGTCACAGTCGTGTCGTGCAGATGATAAATTTCAGGTCCACATCTTTACTGCAGCTCACCAGATGGGGCCACTGCAGGGCTGACTGAGCTAAAGAGACCACAGCAGTGTTTGGTTTAAGGGAAACAAGGAGAGAGTTTACACAGCAGGCGGATTATCCGTATTTAGCATGTAGTCATCATTCCGTTATTTCCTCGTAAATATCAACAAACACTCCCCTGATAGAAAGAAAAAAGTCAAAGTTTACAGTTAGTAAAAGCGTCGTGTGGGCGGGGCCTCTCGCTCGGCGTGCTGACGTCACAGAGGTAGGCGCTGTGTGAGTGTGTGTGCTGTGAGCAGCTTCAGTCTGCAGGCTGGCACGCAGAGGTGTGAGACCGACTACCGCCGCTTCTTCTGTTTTTTTTTTTACTCTTTACGGATATCTGACGACGTTAACGGGCTCGTTACCTTCACCGGACCCCGCTCACACTGCACGGTAAGAGCCCAATGTGTTTTTTTCTCCTGCCGCACACACCAGCAGAGTAAAAAGTAGGGCTGTGACTGAAAGTGAGGAGCGGTACACACACAGTTGAGAGAAGCGTAAAGGCTGAAAAGTGTTTGGAAGCCCGGTGATAACGGAGGGTAAAGTTCTCCTGAGGCGCCGGAGCAGAAGAGACAAGTGAGAAAAACAGAACTAAAGTGGAGGAGATGAGGTTTCAGCTGTGGTCTATCTATAGCCGATATTTATGTCTTATCATAAAGTGCGTGAGCTTGTGCTGCTGCTGCTTTATGTGTGACTCCAGTGTGTTTACTAATGAAGAAACACGAGCTGTAGACCAAACCCCATGCAGAAAACAGACCATTTAACACAACATAGCCCATTCACCAGGTGCTCTACATTATATCAGTATAAGTAGTTTGTTCTGCTCATTTTTTATTGCGGATGATATCACTCACTGACGTCATGTTTTTGGGTCTTGGTGCTCGTGATGGTGCGTGTGCGTGTGTGTGTGTGTGTGATGCAGGTCATTTGGCAGCATTTGCACGAAGATTTTTTTGAATGAATATGTTGAGTGCAGTTCTTCTGAGAAACGATAGGGGGCGATAAAAGCAGCTTTGTCGAACTGATCCAGAATACACGATGAAGCCAGCAGCTCCAGTCTGGTGTGAAATATCTTCTGTTTTTTTCCAAGCAATATCTCTTAAGTTCTGGTGAGGGGAAGTCGCTCCACGCAGCTCAATGGTTATCTTGACTTCTCACGGTTGCAGGAGCCTGTGTGGCTCCAGACAAAGAGCAGCTTCCTCTAACATCAGAGTTGTTTGGATTCTCCTTAAATCAAATGTGGCTCTCTGCTTGTCCACAGCTTGTACTGTTGTGCTTTACTTGAGCTGCTCCATTGGCCTATACAACATACCCTGCTATGTATCCTCCCCTGATCCAGTAAACAAGTGAAATGTTGTTTGTCTTCCAGAGCTCTTTGCTGTGTTTCTGCAGGAAGTTTATCCTCCACAGCTTCCCATTAAAGGGGGAACAAATAGGCCTTTTCCTCCGGCTGCAGACACAACAACAAGGTGCTTTTCAGTGTGAATGATAAGTTCTCATTGTTTAATGTCCACTGCTCTGGATTTATATCCTCCTGCCTTCACAGCTCCCATTTAAACAAATCAGGCATAAAGACTTTTCTGCTCCCCGAGCGGTCAAATCAATAAGACACCATTATTTCTTCACACGATTTAATGTCTGGGAACGATTAGTTTTTCTGTGCTGAACTGAGTGAGCTCTGGAGTGTTTGTAGACTCCTCCAGAGTGCTCATGATGACCTGCTGTACCATTTAAGATCCAACATGTTTGTCTTTACTGCAGCTGTCATTACTCTGCACATCAGGGAGGCTGTTTGTCAACGGCCCATCTCCTGCACACGCTCAATCGTGTCTTTAGTGAAGCGTCGCTCCATCGTCTCTTCTGGGCCTCCATACATGTGTGGTGGTGACTGTGTCTGCAGAGACTCTGTCCTCTGACTGGATTTTACTGTTCTGCTTTGTTCTGGTTGACTCTGGACGTTTCTGAGCGGAGCTGGTGTGTTTCCTCCAGCCAATGACAGCGCAGCAGGTGAGTTTAGGAGTGGATACAATTCAGTGATTGGATGCCATTCAAACTGGTGAATATGACGGACGTGGACGTAGTGGCAAAGCAAAGCTGGTTCTAAAACGAGGGTGAACCTTGTGTTGTCTTTTACCCGTGGACGTGGAGTTGTTCTGCTTCCTGTTGGACAGGCAGGTGACAAACACCGGCGGTTAGCTTGTGGTAGCGTGCGTTAGCTTGCAGTAAACGTACACACTACATCCTGCAGTGAGTGATGAGCTCAGGAGGAGGGGCTTAGTTTGAATGTTGTCTTTACCAACAACAAAGAATGATACAGACTCCACCTTTAAGTTTGTCGTCATGTTGAACACTCTGATGCTTCTTGATACCACGTGCTTAGAAACCATAAAAACTCGGTTATTCAAAACATTCTGTAGATTAAAAAAACAATACAGATCTTTTAGACCAAAGCAGAGAGGAACTGTGAACACTGCACAAATACGTTGGCAACCTTTCTTTGGTATTTGTGAAATGTAGACAGTGTGCCGGAGTTAACCTGTAAGTTTTGGTAATTCAAAACAAGATATATCCTAAGGTTGACTTCCTAGGTCTTCTATTTTTGTTGCTGTGGTATCCATATCATTTGAATATTAATATTTAAGTTTAAAACTCTGGTATCGTAACAGCTTCATGTGCTATTATTGTGCACAGAAGTTGAAAACAACCCTATCAAATCTCAGTTTTTCCAGCGATGATGAAAATGTTTTTGAGTTATCTCCATGCCTTTGTTTATAAGCTGCTCGCTGCATCTGATTTGTAACCATAGGATCTTTAATATGGAGGTTTTTAATTTGATTCTGACTCAGGTGAACGTTCTGTTTAGATTTCTTCGATGCTTCTTTTACGTCACAGACGCAGACACAGGATGATGATGATGATAGATTGCGTTGAATATAGATGAAAAAGAGAATGCTAAGGCATCACATCTCACCTCCCTCGATCAGCTCACCCCATGAGACAGACCTACTCAGCAGCCATGATAATGACACTTCACTCTCAGTCTGACAGATCTCTATTTAAGGCGCTGCAGACGAGGCCCTGCAGGAGAAATACGTCCTCTTCTCTTTTCCACCCGTCGCCTTCTGCATGGCTAACCAGACAATGGGTGATTGAGGCGGAGAGATGTGTCTTTCAAACTAAAGTTATGATCACAATGTGAGCTCAGCTGAACAATAAGGCACCTGTCAGAGTTTGGCACAGGGACGTCTTCCTGAGACATGCCCGCAGGCCCCATCCAGCTGTTTACATTTCAGAGCTGGTTTGCATGTCTGAGAGCTGGAGACGCCCGTCTACAGTTGCAATCTGTTACCCTCAACGGTTACAGGTTCATATATTATGTATCAGTAACAAGTGATCTTGTCGGTAGTTCAGCTACTCGTGAAGCTTTAAACATCTTTGAGCCTTTTGAGGAAGTCGATAGTTAATAATGTTTTCTACAGCGTCCGCTAGTTTCTGATTGCTGCGCTCTCAGTTGAAAATAGTTCAACTTTTGGAACTCCTGTCATTGTCGCATCTCCCTCACAGACCAATCAAAACTAAGAAGGGGCGGGACATCTGGCAAAAGCTTTGTCAGCAACAATATCGGGAAGACGCTAAGCTGACTCACTCGTCTTTCCGAGCCAGTTCCAGGTGTAGAGCTGCTGCTGATGTCGACATGATTCATTCACATCGTCTTCATTTTGTCTTGGTGATATGTCCTTAAATTAAAGCAAATGTTTAACACACGCAGCTAAAACACACCTAACCATCACTACAGAGGGAAGCAGAAGTTCACTTTTCTAACATAGCAAAAATTAACGGTGGTGAAAAGCGCTCTGAAACGGAGGTCATGAGCGCTGCCGTCACTGGACAACAGACCGTTCAGTCTGTTCACTTCATCACACCAGATTTCTTCTCCCGAGTCTTGGTTGGTCACATTGTTCCAGTGAGGAGGAAGTGAAAGCTCTACTTCATGTAGCTTCACCTTAAAACGGGTCTATTGCTCTTCTTTCCAGAACTTCCCCAATTCTGCTCGCCGCCTCCTGGTTTTCCCCTTGATCACCTCTCTTTCCCATAATGCTTTACTGATGCTGCGGCTGCTGTGCTGATTAGTCATAATTAGAGAACAGTAGAAGTGGGAGAATGGTTAATTGTACAGAGGAGCATGTGGTACCCCCCCCCCCCCCTCTTCTCCTCCATGCATGTGATGAGGATCAGGTCTGGTCTCTCTGTGGCGGCTGACCGGCTGGCTGGAGTCACAAAAGGCCTCTCCGACCAAATCCTGTTGCTTCAAACCCAACCAACCAGCAGACAGCGGATCACATGCTGCTGCTCCTGTTGTGAGAGCCAGACTCTCTCTCTCTCTCTCTCTCTCTCTCTCTCTCTCCGTCTTTTTGTCAGCTCTTTGTTTTGATTGCAGTCTGGATTTTTGGAGGATTTAAGCCCACTCATCACTGTCAGCGGGGAAAGCACAGACGCCGTCAGACGGTTGAGGGCTGTTCCACCAGCGGCCTGTTGGTGCAGGATGTGGGAGGTTTACTGACTCATGTTTATAAGGTGTTCAGTTCAGACAAAGCCTGGAAATAATAAGTCTTCATAGATTCAGGATATCAGCGCCGTTCAAAACGCTTGTGATCACTTTAGAGCTGTGTAAAAGTCTACCTCATCATCACCAAAAAAACACGTCGTCTCAGGTTAAAGGTAGCAGTAAACTAAAGCGCTGAGCGGGGCTTTCATGGGGTTGTGCTACTTCTTGACACAGTCGGGCGTGGAGGTGATCTGCTGCTACCGTTAGCGCTGCTTTTCCACGACCTCAGCGTGTGGCGTTCTCTCTGGGTCGTTCATCATGTTTTCTGCTCACAGTGACGTCTCTCACGTGTAATCACTTTAATGGTGTAAAGACACCGTTTTTGGCGTTCGTCAGTGTGTGCATTCCAGGATGGCGCCAGCAGCGTAACATTTCCACCCGATGAGATGCTCCGACCTGTGACATGCGTCTTCAGGACGCGTGTGGATGTTTGCCCTCGCCGGGCGCTCTGCTTGTTTATTTGTGTGTGTGTGAGAAATGAATGTTAATCTGACGGCGCTGATGTGGTTAAGCCTCGGCGTCCGGTAGATTAGATCCAGATGGACGCCGTCTCTGCTGCTCACATGTGAAGCCGGCCATTTAAAGGCACTTAAAAAAGAGCACTTTAAAGAGCGAGGGACTTTCTGCATTGTTTCCTTTCGCCTTGTTCTGAATACTTCATGTTAAAGGAGGTTTTGCTCCAAAACATTTTGATTTAAAGAGCTTCATGTCCTCTGCAGTCTGCACGACTTTAAGACTTCAGAACTAAAAAAAAACATCCTCAGAGAAAACCGTGCACAAGGTAGTG